ACCCCGTAAGCTTTGATCTGACAGCCGGAAGTTTCCCCCCACGGTCTGCCCCCGATCAGAACCCACTTAAGCTCCTCCTGGCTCAGACAAGCGCCACCTGCGGCTTTCGGGCCATCATTCTCCCCTTCTTTGAAATGTGGGCCAGGCTGGGCTGACCTCGCGGGAACTTTCCAGCAGCGGAATTCTAGTCCCTCGGCTAACAACCACAGACCAGGAGACCACCGTGGCATGCAGGCAGGAGGGGTCAGGGCACCGGGAGCCTGCTGGTTTCCCGCCATGCGGAACAGCGCCGCCTGGTGGTCCAGGCGCCTCAAACACAGGTACCATCCCCTTGCTACCTCCCTCCCTTGGCAGGGCCCGAGTCCTCTGCCTGGCATGCCGCCCTTCCTCCATGATGTTCTTGACAGTGACATCGCAATCCTCCGGGTCTGCTTATTTTCTTCGTATTGAGTATTAGCCCCTCGTGGGCGCTGCGGGCCTCGAGAGCTCCGAGAAGCCTGTGCCCCTCCGCGGCCGTTCTGCCCTGCAGTAAAGCGGGCTCCTGGCTGGGCTGCCGCTTCAGCCCCGAAGGCTCCATTCCTGGTGAAGCAGGTGAACTGTGCCTCACATCTTGGAACAGGGAGACTTCCAAGGACATGGGCATGCTTCTCCCACCTTTGGGGAGACCCTCCTCTGCCCTCTACTGTCACCAGACTTCTTGAAAATAGGTTTTCCTCACTCTGGTCTTTCCCGGCCTCTTACCTCTTCTTGGCCTCCCTGCCTCCCACCTCTCTGGAAGTTCACCTAATGCTGCTCAGTGACATAAGCCAGACACAAAGGGACAGACCCTGTCTGATCCCACTTCCAGGAGGTCCCCAGAGGAGCCCCGTCCACAGAGACAGAGAGTGGGTGGTGGGGCTGGGGGCTGGGGGAGGGGGTGGGGAGGGCGTGTTTCATGAGAACAGAGTTTATATTTGGGGATGATGAGAAAGTTCTGAAACGAGATAGCAGCGATGTTGGCACAGCCTTGTGAACGTACTTAATGTTACTGAATTGTACACTTCGAATTGCGAGTGTTGGCTGGTAGCTAGATTAATGTAGTCATCAAATTAAACATATTTATGTAGTTCAAAGAAGAATTTGTTTATCCAGAGGATTAATCTTCTGGAGGTGAATTTCAATTAGAGAATTTCGATCAGAGATATTTTATAGCCTTCTACCTCCTTCTTCTATTACAATAACTGAAATGAGATCCGTCGTGGTGTTCTTTATGGATTCCCGTCTGTGAAACTGACAATCCTGCAACAACAAGGGCAGATTACTTGATCTTTTTGTGCCTCAGTTTTCTCATTTATAAATTGGAGATTAAAATGGTACCTACCTCAGAGGTTTGATACGAAGATTAAGTAAATTAATATTTGGGTATTGAGAACAGGATCTGGCCCGTTGTAAGCATGTACCAGCCATGACCACCAACTATTTATTCTAGTAACACTGGTACAAATGGATGATTTGCTCTCATGTGCAATATATTTATCTTTTTTGCTTATTTACTGTTCTCTGAAATGTGGAGAAACAACTCTGGATTAGGAGTAAGGAATAATGGATTTTACTCCCAAATCTGCCAATAGTTTATTGGTGGCCTTGAGTAAACTGGGCCTCAGCTTCTCATTTACAGAATCTACATGGTTGAATCCCAGCTTTATAATACATAAGAATCATGTGAGGTGCTTGGGCGAAAGTGTAGATGTCTTGGCCTCTCATCAAACATCTTGATTCTGGAAGCCTGGGGATAGGCCGCAAGGAAGAACATTTTTAATAAGTTCATAAGTGCATCAGATGCAGGTGGTCCATGGACCACACACTGGGACATATTAGACTAGATGACCTCTCATTTCTCCCTATTTAGTACTCAAATGTAGACAACTGTGATTCAAAGTCATAAACAAAATTGTTTCTCTGGAGGTTTAAATATCTTATAAATGTCCTATAAAATGCATGAAAACTCATTTCAAAACCTGTATTAAGTCTACATTGTGAATGCCTCTGGTTATTTGTTAAAAAAAAATTGCAAGTATTGGGTTACATACATGTTATCACAATTAAAATTTTTCCAAAAAAAAGGAAGAGGGCGGAAGCTGCTATAACCTCTAAAAGTCTAGGCTCAGACCTAGCCCATCATCATTTCTGGCTGGTCAGAACCAGTGTCAAAGCCAACTCAAATTCAAGTCCTGCCTCCTTCACAGGAGGAGTGAAATATATTAGGGCTTTTCTTCCATCTATGAGAAAACCTACGAGGTCTAAGCTCACACTAATCAATGTTCATTACAAATTTTGAATCCAAAGTTGAACCCAGAAAAATATTTTGACTGTATTCAAATTTGTTACCAGCTAAATACTGAGAGAAGAGCCTTTTGATAAATTTGAATATGCAAAATTCGACTTCGAGGAAACAATAACCATGTGGCACACACACACACACACACACACCCCACAGTGGTAGAATGGACCGTTGGTCAAAGTTGGACAGAAAGAGCCCAATTAATGAATCAAATGTTTCCAAAACGCACACAGTAAAATGTTCCTGATAAAAATGATTTCCATCAAGTAAAAATGAAGTTTGAAAAAAATCTGGAAACAGTTTAACAGCCCTGAATAGGAAAGTGATCCAGGAATCTAATTGGCTAAATGCGGTTCATGATTCAAAAGTCTTTTCCAACAGAAATGTGTTGGATTTTTTTTTCCCACCGTGCTTATAAAAATGGAATCAAAGTGTCCCCAGAATAAAACCATCCTCTATGTGAAATTGGTAGTGTGACAAAGAGACAGTCAAACGTCCTGTACATCTTCCCGGTGCTTGACTTTATTTCCCAGACACTACATGCTTCTTATTTCCTAAGCAATCTGGCCCTTGTGTCTCTCACATCCTACCTACCGGTCCAGGGAGCTGCACTGTTTCTGAAAAGTGGTGGCTCACACAAACCACCCTTTCCTGAGGGGAATCACTAGTGGGGGACAACCTCTGGATACTGGGGCGAACCCCAAGACTTTGGCTTTTGTTCTTATGATGGCTCCTGAGAACCCCACACTGAGGGACCACAGGCAGCCAGCTCAGGGCTAGCCCTGTCTGCTTACTCAGTCCTCACCGCTTCCTACTGTCCCGACTTAATACCCTGCATCCTGCATCTAACCATGTCCACGGGGGCCTAAGGCCCCCTCCCAGGCCCACCCGGGAGTCAGGGGACAACGTCAAATTCACTTCAGCTTCACACTGCAAATCCAGTCACCTTGTGACTGTCAGGATGACGAAATGCCAGGCATACAAGATTATTTTTAAAAGGAGGGAGGTAAAGATCTGTTCTTTAAAAAAGAAGATGGAGGGGGGAGATATAGGCATGGGAGAGAAGGAATTAATTAGATTTATTTTTACCACCCGGGATTTTAGAAATATGTTTTGGGGACTTTCTTATCAGTTCCAGGATTTTAATAGATGCAATGCAGATAGTAAGAGAGAGAGAATAGTACAGAGGCAGAGAGAGAGTATAGATAACAGCAAAGAGGTGCGGACAGATTCAGAGCGATGCGAACAGAGAGATGGACAGGTAGAGGCGGGGCGTGGTCAGATGTCAGTGATGCCTACCGAAACCAGACAGAACCCCCAACTATTTAGAAGGCTGAGATCTCAGACCTTGGAAGGTCCTGACACTCTGCGTCCCAGCCATTTTTGTCTACCCATTTTCAGCCCCTATTCTGAACTTACCGCATCGCCCTCTCTCCTCTGGCTGGGTGGTCCCTTCCAAGGGCCCATCCCTTCCTCTCGAGGTGGAAACGTGTCCTTTTCGCCAAGTTTTGCCCACTGTCAGTGACTGTCCCTACATGTCCCTTCCTAACCCGAGTGACCCTCCCCCACCACCACCATTCCTTTCCCTGGTAAAAGAGTGGTGGGCCCACCTTCATTTATTCATTCATCCGTTAGGTATTTACAAGCAGTTCTCATGTCGCGGGCCCTGCTCAGCAATGCGGGTGACCCGGGGAGACCTGACTTAGGCCCTGCATCACCCCCGACCCTCGCTCCCGTCAGTCTTGGGAGGTAGGGGATGGGAGGGCCACGCAAACAGGGATAACACCTTCTGATCAGAGCTTTGATAGGGGAACATCAGTTACAGTGAGCCTCAGAGAAGATACTTAACTAGGCCTAGACTAGGGCAGGGCATGCGCTGGGGTCTTCGGTGGGACTCTCACCCCCAACAGCCCCACCCCCAGCACAGCGGGGCTCTAAGCTGAAGCGGTCTCACCACCTAGCCCTCAGCCTTAGGGAATTCTGGCAACGCCCGTTCCCAGCCCCAATCCATTAGCCTCTCCCTTATCTGTCCCCGCCCCCTCGGCGGGCCAGGCCACGCCCCCTAAGCCCCTCCCCTATTTCATTGAATGCAGGCCTCAAGCTCCACCGCCCGGGAGGCCCGACTCACCAATCTCACGACCTCATTGGTCAGAGAGCGTCACTTCACCGCCCTCCTTCAGTGTCATTGGCTCACCAGGTGTCAGTCTTGTTTATAGAGTGCCAACAGTTGCCAAGGCCGAGATTTGAGGGGCAGATAATAATGGACAACCTCAGTACGTCTCGTTATTGGGCAGAAAGCCCGGCTCTGGGCGGGGCTTAGGGCCAAAAGCTCGCTGCCTCTGTCTGGGGTTCTTCAGGGCCGCAGCCTTCCCTCAGAGACACCCCCCTCCTTCCTCACGATTGGTCCCGCAAGGTGTTGATCAACAGGATTTCACAATCCAATAGGCAAAACTACCTGTCCTTCACTGCTTCCTTAATTCCAACTCGCTTCTCTCCTCAGAGGAGGCAACCTCCTGGCCGTAGCCAGGACCCGCCTCACGGAGTGGCCCCGGATTGGCCGGACGCACCGTCACTCCTAAATAGTGGACGGAGCCTGGGTGCCGGGGGTGGCGAATTGGCTGGCTGAGCCTTGGGGGCGGGGCAGCGGCTCCTGTCAGCGGGTGAAATGGCAGCGGCGGAGCCGGCGGCGGCCGCGGTCCCGGGGGGCGGCTGAGGGGGGCCGGGCCGGGGCTGCGGGGCGAGCGACGCGGCGGGTAGCCGGCGGCGGCCCGGGACAGCGAGGCTGGGCACGGCGATGGCGGCGCGCTCGGCGCAGGTAAGGAGGCGACGCGGGCCGGGCCTCCGGCGCCTTCTCAGGCCGGCGGTTCCGCGCTGCGGCCCGCGGGGGCCGGACAAGACCGAGAGTCGGGCCGCCCCGCCGCGGAACCCGCGCCGGGAGCCCTTGGCACCCCCAGCACGGAGCCCGGCCGAGAGCAGCACGGCCCGGCCCGCTCCCCGCCGGTTCCCCACGCCTCGGACCCCTCCGGGCACCCTCCCCACCTCGCCCCCTCCTCGGGAGGCCCCCGCAGACCCGCGACCCCTGCTCACCCCTTCCGCGGACCCTCAGGACCCCTCTCCGGATCCCTCGGGCTCCCACCCTCCAACCGCAGACCCGCCCCCCAGGAGCGCCCCTCCCCCAGATCCGGGACTCCCCCCCGCCCGCGCCCGATCCCCCAGGATCCCCCCCACCTGCACACCCCTTGCCACCCCGTCCCTCCCCTCACTTCTGTCCTGTCTCTGGGCCCAGACCTGCACTCACCACCAAGGGTGCCAGCCTCAGAGCCCTACCCACCCCTGACCCCACAGGACCCCTCCCCCAGCCTCTGCGAATCAGGGTTCCTCCCACAGGTCTCACCTCAGCCTGGCCGCCCATCTCCCACCCGCAGCAACCCCATGCCCAAGGGAACCCCTAAAAATCACTCCTTGGGGTCCTCCCGCTGTATCCCGGATCCTGTCTCCTCTTGATGCCTGCTTCCTCGTGCTCAGGACCTCCCAACAGATGTCTGAACCCCCTCCCCACTCAGAAACACACATTTTTCTGAGAGCCCTGCACATGCACACACACACACACACACACACACACACACACACACACACACACACACACATATTTGGGACCAGCAGTTCTCACACAGAGAGACTCCCGTGGACCCCCAGCAACTCACTCTGACAGATACCCTGGCCCCTGACATAACAGACATGCAGGAGCTCCTGACGTGCATACACGCACAGAGCCAGGCACTTGAATCCCCAACACACAGAGAAGAGCTTAGGGCCTCCAACACAGATCCCCCCAACACACACACACACACACACACACACACATGCAGGATGCTCAGCGCCTCCTTGGGTCCCACCCAACTGGGTCCTCCTGGAGCCCCTGGCAGCTCCTAGCTCAGGCTGAGACTGGGAGATGCGAGCTGCCTGGCCTGCTGGGCCACACCAGCCTCCCAGAGTCAGCGTCCCTACTGGGGCCCTGGAGGGTGACAGGTGACCCAGAATCTCCCAGCACCCCTCTGTACATTTGCCCCAGGCCTCTTCCCCTTTATAATTCTCTCTGCCTTGCCCTTCTTCAAAGGGAAGGACACTCACTCTCTCTCCTATACCAAAGTCTCCCAAAAGGAACCACTGCCCGCCCCCTGATTTATGCACACCCCACCCCCTGGCGGGGAGGGTGGGTGTTCAGACTCCTGGCCCTGGTTCTGAAGTCTGACCAGACTGGTAGGGCTGCACATCCCTACCCCATCGCGTCCTCTGGCCTCCCATGGCAGGGGTAGCCCCTGACAGCCCACACTGAGTTCCTTTACCCACGAATGGGGTGTTGTGCCAAAATGAAAGCTTCCTTCTCTCCTGGCATTTGGGACCCTCTGGGGCTGAGCTGGGGCCGCCAGAAGCATACAGCTCTTTGTTAAGGAATATTTCCAGAAGGGAAAAAATGTGCTGAAGAGGCTTGGGTAGGACGTGAATGAGTAGTCAGCTTGGTTTGTCCCTCGGCCCAGCTGTGATGGGGCCAGAGGAACCATGTGTGAGCGTCCTTCTGGGCTGTGTTTCTCCCCACCCATCCTGCCACCCAACAGCTGTACTCATGGGTCCAACCTGTGGGCTCCCCTGGGCTTCAGTGGCCAACGGCGGGTGGTTTGGAAGGAACTGCAGGCGGTGCGGCCCCAGCGCTGGGATGAGGGGAGACAGAGAGGAGCAGAGATGACAGAGCTGCAGGCTGGCGTGGCCAGGTCTGCAGGGAGTGAGGCACTGGTCCGGCTCATGTGGAATCCAGATCCGTGCGGCCCCGCATGTCCTGTGTGGGCTCCCATGAGCCACATAAGCTTCCTGGAAACCCTCAGAGAAGCAGGCCTGGGCTTCTTTGTGGATGGTCATTAGTGGACCGTGGACAGCCCTGGGAAGAAGCACAGATTGGCTCAGGGTCTCAACTTCTCCATCTGGAAAATGGGGGGGATAAAGCCTTGGAACTGTGCTTTGTCCTGCAGGGGAGCCAGTGATGTTAGGCTGTGGCCCTGAATGTCTGCTGGGTATCATGCAGAAGAGAAGGGGTTGGTGGGGTCCAGGAAGGTGCAGCACCTATCTGCAGGTGCCAGCAGACCCACTGGCCACCCTGGCCCCCTGGTTAATGCCTCACAGGCTGATGGCTGTCCCCCTGCAGCCAAGCTGCACCACAGGAAGTCTGAAGGGCTGAGAGATGGTCTGTGGGATTTGTGGCCACATAGGGACCTCTCGGGGACAGAGGGCAGGGAGAGGTTTGTCCTGCCCACTAGCCGAGGGGAGGAGGGAACGCAAAGACCCCTGAAGGTCACGAGGTGCTGGAAACAAACTTCACTCCACACATCCCCCGGAGGGGACTTTGCGCGGACGCAGTGGGGCCAGAGCCTCCCCAGGAGAGACCGTGACCTCCTTAGGAACACAGGAGAAGGCTCCCTGGGAGGGCTGGTGGACGTATCGAGGCACTTCTAGTCGGTCTGGGGTACAGCTGGTGTCTGAGTGTGAGTGCTGTCACAGGTGCGGGTGGAAGGGGCAGATGTGGCCCCAGCCCCCGCTGGCAGAATACAGATGCTGACCCCCGCCACGTCCTGGGAGTCGTCATGTGCTGGGGTCTGAAGGACTGTCAGGTGTGGTCCCCGTCCCGCATCTGGTGACCCTCTGGACATCACCAGACAGGCGTTGAAACCAGTCGCGCACACCAATCAGGCCCCTGCCCTGTGTTAGGCCCTGTGCCAAGCACCATTCCCCATATCTCACTTAACCCTCCACAGCACCCAGAGGCCGTGGGATCCCAGCATGTGTCCTTACCTCCATGGCCTGCTGCCTGCCGTGCGGAAGCATGAGGCGAAATTACATGCAGCATGCTGCACAGACGGGCGTTCAGGCAGCCTGGTGGTCTTGCCAGAGGCCCAGGAAGCAGCAGCGAGCTTGGTGCAGTCAGGAAATGATGCCTTGTTTGGTGGGCTCCACCCTATAGGCTTCCCGTCCCAGTGCTGCCCACGGGGCACACACTGTGGGACACTTGCTGCTGGACGGGACCCACAGTCAGGAGAGCTTGGAGGGCTGGTGGACATGCTCTAGACGCCACACGGAGGTGGGAAGAAGGCAGGCTAGGAGGACCAAGTCCTGGGGCCAGGGAAGAGATTTATCCCTGCCAGTGAGATTTCAAAGGCGGCACTGGCACTTTTCTTTGAGTTCTCAGCGTGCCGTGATGTGCTGATGGGCTTGTCTCCAGTGGTCTGCCTCCCACAGCAGCCCGCGAGTCCCGCGGGGCCGCGTGTGTCTGTCCGCTCACAGCTGGTCCCAGGCGAGGACGGCACAGAGCAGGTGCTCAGCGAATACGTGGTCGGTGCGGGGAGCTGACGGTATCCCCTCCCCACCCGCTTCCGAAAGGGGGTCCGGATCTCCTCCATAGGAAGGGGCGGGTCGTGTGCCTGGGAGAGCCACTCACCCCCGTGCCTGGCGCCCAGGGCCTTCGCGGCCGCCAGAGACGGCAGGGACGATGCCGTCTGGGCTTTGAAGAACCAAGGGCCTTTGCGTGACGCCTCTTCCTCCTCACCTGTCCCTGGAAGGCTTATGAGTGTTTCTCTTTGTCATTCTCAGCACACGCAGCTAGAGAGAAATGAGGGGTTTGCCAGGAAGGCACCTGTGTCATGGCAGAAAGTAGGCTGGTGATGGGGCAGGGGAATAACTTCTCCTCGTTTTTTAGGTCAGGATTCCACAGGTCGTAAGGGCGCATCCCTCAGATTTCAGCCTGAAGGTGTGGGCTTCCGCCTCTGTTATTACCAATAACAGTGGCAACAGTTTTACTGTGCCGAGTCTTTAAGCAGGGCTGTTCCGTGGGGCTGGCTGCTGAGGGGCGAGGTTTGTTTACTCATTCCACAACAGTGGTGGATGCCTGCTGGGGCGCTGGACTCCGGGGTCCGGGAGTGGGCGAGACAGCCCCTGCCCGCGTGGAGCTTCCCATCCGGCAAAGACACATACCACGCATGGGCCAGCGCCTGTCCCACGCACTTGACAAGTTTAGCTCAGGGCTTCCTCCCAACAGGACCCGTGAGATAGGTACCACTAATTCTGTTTTCAGATGAAGAAACTGAGGCAAAGCACATCGTAGCCAGGACCCCACAGATAGAAGGTGATGGAGGAGGGATTTGAAGCCAGGCCGCTGGCTCTGAAGTCCTGACTTCAGGCGCAGAGCTCTGCTGCACACGCAGCCATGGGGGTGGGGGTGGGGGGTACATGCATGTACATCCGGGGCAGCCAGAACCAGGGACAAGGGGAGGGCCGGCAGTGACCCCTGAATCCAGCTGTTATTACCAATAACAATGATAACAGTTTTCAGAGTTTTTACACCTTCAGGCTAAAATCTGAGGGACGCACCCTTATGACCTGTGGAATCCTGACCTAAAAAACAAGAAAAAGTTACCCCATCACCAGCCTACTTTCTGCCACTGACACAGGTGCCTTCCTGGCAAATCCCATTTCTCTCTAGCTGCGTGTGCTGAGAACAACAACCCAGTCCTCGTTCGATGAGGGGTAACTCAGCCATTTCCCCAGGAGGAGGAGCCAGCCTGGGCTGTGGTGGCCCTGGGGCACGTGGCCTCTCCCAAAGCATCAGGTGCAGAAATGATCCTGTGCCTCCCATTAGTAGAGGTGCAGGACCAGAAGCCAGGGTGGGGAGGGGAGGCAGGGAGCCGAGATTGAAAGGAACTGTGGGGTCTTTATTCCTGCCTCTGAAAATGCCAGGCTCTGGAAGATGGCTCCTCCCCAATTGCTCCCCTTTCTGTTGAAAGCCAATGGCTGCACTTTACCGAGTGGCCTGTACACTGGGCACGCCGTGTTTTACGTACGTTATTCCTGAAGTGAAAGAATGCAGTGTGAGTGGCTTCGAGCAAAGGTTCTGGATTCAGAAATCCAAGTGCAAATTCTTTCTGGCCTCACTGGACCCCAGGAGTGACCCCTCGCCAAGGCACCTCTCGTGCTGTGACTGTCCTTTACTGTCTGCACCGGCCCGCAATCCTTCTTCCTTCGTAATTTTTAAGACAGACTGTTTTTTAGAATAGTTTTAGATTTACAGAACAATCCACAATGTAACAGAGAGTTCCCACATAGCTCACCATTTCCCTTTTTAGTGGAGTAACATTGTGCACTACGCTAAACACTGTTACAATTAACAGGCCAGTATTCATACCTTCTTAGCTACAGTCCACACTTCATTCAGATTTCCCTACTTTATCCCTAATATCCTCGTTCCCTCCCAGGATCGTGTCCTGGGTCCTCTGTGATGTATTCCCACCACGGCTCCTGGCTGGGACAGCTTCTTAGTTTTTTCTTGTCTTTGATGACCTTGGCAATTTTGAGGACTGGTGAGGAATTTTCTAAAATGTCCCCTAATCTGGATTTATCATGTGTTTTTCTCATGGTTACACTGGGGTGCTGCGTCTTTGGGAGAAAGACACCGAGGCGAAGTGTCCTCACCTCATTATATCAAGGGCACAGGCTGTCGACACGACATCACTGCCGGTGTTGACCTTGGTCATCAGGGCTGAGCAGCACAGAAATGTTTTTCCTTCATCCATCGGATGTTCACTGAGCACATACTAAATGCCAGATGCCGCTTTAGGAGCTTGAAGTAGAAATCAAGAAGATAGGCCCTCGCCCTCAGAATGTTCACAACCCGGTAGGGCGGGCAGGTGCGCAGAGGAGGAACCACGGGGAACATGTCTCGGGCCGGAGCATAGGGGGTCGTTGTTCTCAGGGGGAGAGGGGAGAAGTGAGCCAGCGCACTGGAGGCGGGGGTTCATGGAAAAAAACACTCAAACCGGATCTTGGAGAATGCCTTTCCAGAGACCAGCAGGTGCAAAGACAGGCAGGAAGCAGTAGACGCTCCTGAAGGACTGGGTGTGGGGGGGGGGCAGGCGCAGAAGTGGGGAGCCTGAGCAGCAAGCCAGGCCTGAGCCGGTGGGTACAGGCAGGCCCGCCTGCAACAGGAGGAGGGGCCGCTCTGGTCAGGAGAGCGTGGAGTCTGAGGACTGCACCAGGGGCCAGGCGTCTCCCTGAACAGCGAGCCCAGACAGGCTCCTGCCTTAGCCACAAGGCCCTGCGGGGGTCTGGCCTCTGCAGAACCTTCCAGCCTCTTCTGGGCTCCCACCCCTCCGCCCTGCTTCTGCACTGAGGTTCCTCTGTCAGCCCAAACCCTCCTTTACCATTTTTTTAACGGCGTTATCATTCACTTACATAAAATTCCCCCTTTTAAAGCAAACAGTTCATTGGGTTTTTAGTACATTCACCAAGTCATCACCACTGTCGAATTCCAGAGCTCTTCAACCCTCCAAAAAGAAACCCGAGAGCAGTTCCCACATCCCTCCCATGCCCAGGCCCCGGCCCCTTACAGCCACCGGTCGGCTTTCTGTCCGTCCACATCTGCCTGTTCTGGACCTCTCGCACGAATGGAGTCACACGCTGTGAGGCCTTGTGTCTGGGTCGCTCACTGAGCACCATGTCTTCGAGGTCCGCCCACGCTGTAGGACATGTCAGAGCGTCCTCCCTTAAGGCTCAATAATATTCCACCATGTAGCCAGACCACATCGAGTTTATCTGTTTACCTGATGGTGGACAGTCCTGTGGTTTCCGCTTTTTGGCTAGTGTAAGTCACGCTGCTATGAACAGCTGTGTGCCAGGCTCCCACACAGATGTGTTTTCCATTCTCTCAGGTAGATGCCTAGGAGCGCAACTGCCGGGTCAGATAGCAACTCTTTGTTTAACTTTTCGGTCTGCCACGCTGGTCTCCATTCTACTTTATCTTTTGACCCAAGCTTCCCTCCAGATCTGTAATAAAACTTTGGACAACTGTTCCTTGGCTTGGCTTCTGCCCTATGCATGCTGCGGGCTGGCAGGGGCTGCATCTTTGGCCCTCAGATGGCCTTGGGCATTCGTAGGTATTTGTGGGTGGGCCGGGGCTTCCATTCCTCAATATTTCTTGACTCTTACATTGTGCTGGGCTCAGCGTGGGGCAGCACTGTAGCAGGGGCCCAGACAGTGGTGATTCCTGCCCTGGGAGTCTGACGGAGATAACCAGGGGCCCAGGGCAATCCTGACTGGGGCTCAGGAGAAAGTAACGCTGGGAAAGAAGGTGTCACCATCACTGACATTTCTTTGGACATTTAAGCCCTGAGAGTGAGGTCACCAAGAGCAGGAAGGGACAAGGACTGAGGCAGGCCTGGGAGGTGGGTCTCACCTGCCTCGTTCCAGTCCATGTCCGCATGCTTAGAACAGCACCTGGCTCTCCCACAGCCCTCAGTAAGGCCCAGGGAGGGAATGGATGAACCAGTGAGTCTTGGTGCTTGGGTGGGGGAGGCACCCAGAGCCAGGGGGGCAGCAAGCCAGTGTCCGTCCTCATCTACTAGTTCCAAGGGCCGTGAGGTATGGTCAGCACGGGGGTGATGTTGTGTGTATGAGTGTGTGTGCACACACCGAGTAGTGTGGGTACGTGTGGGTGTGAGATGGTGTGCAGGGTGCATCCAGGCGTGAAGCTGCGTGTGCATGTGGGTGTGCATGAGTGTGCGTCTGTGTGCATGCATCAGGAGGATGGCTGCCGGGGCCTGCCAGTGTTCAGGATCTGGGGGGCAGCTGAGAGGAACTTTCTGAGGGGTCAGAAGGTCCTGCTTCTCAGACGGGGAATCTCAGCCCTGTGCACTGGATCAATTTTATTTCCTGTATGAAGCACACACGAATATGTGACAAATAGCTCAACAGACTCTTCTAGTGGAAGGCCTCTGGTTGTTTTTTGTAATCAGAAACCCAGAGCTGAGCCATTCTCTCCGGCTCTTTGAGGAAAATGTCAGAAGTATGCCCTGAGGCTGGGGCCCCTGGGCTCAGCAAGACCTGCCACACGTGGTCTCTTTCTCTGAGGCCCCCACTGCTCCCCACATCCAGCTGTGCTTACGAGGCCTTGATCCTCACCTCCACCACCTTCTCCCCGGTCTCCCAACTCCGAGGCCAGCAGGACTGGTGCTTCCAGGCCAGCCCCTCTTGTCCACAGCCCATGTCTGCCGCAAGCCGGCCTCAGGCTTTGACTCTGCATCTGGCCCGCGGCGGCCCCCGTGTCCCTCTCAGGAATGACGGACTCCTGGCTAGGCAGTGCTCACTGGCTCCATGTCTAGGGCAGGTGGTCTCTGGCCAGATGGGCAGTGGGAGGAAAAGGCCTTCAGGGTATGCAGGGACTGGGCAAGGGCCTCTCTGCGGGCCAAGCTGTCTGATCCAGGGCGGGCGGAGTCCAGGCCACATACTGTGGACCCCTGGCACAGAGCACACTGGGGAGTGGGCGGCACGAAGGAGGCATCCACAACGGTGCTAAGGGGGGGCATGATATTCTTCCTGGGGACCCCTGTCTCTTAGACAGTGGGAGTCAGCCGGGACTCACCAGAGGCAGTGTGACTGAGCAGAAGGAACACCAGCCCCAGGCCCTGCCTCCCCTCCCCTAGCCATTCTGACCCGTAGCCTCTCCCACCAGGGTGATGCCAGATCCTGCCGGCAGTGCCCACACTAGGCATAGCAGAACCCCCGAGGGGTAGGAATGGCCGGCGCTCAGGGAGCAGTCGCTAAGTGCCAGGCACGGTGTGGTGTGTGGAGGCACTCTCAGTTCTCAGGCCCCTCCCAGAGAGGTCCCCTAAGAGCCCCAGTCCGTAAGCTGAGTGACCGGCCCACGGCCACAGAGCCATGTGTCAGACACAGGGCCGTTGGAGCCCAGAGCCCTTGCCTTTGGCATGGTCCCGAGCTTCCTCTCCTGAGGTTGGCAGGAGGCAGGAGGCCAGTGTCCTTGAAGCCCCCAGTAGGGCGGCCGACATCCCCAGGAAGACAAGGAGAGATGGGCCTGGCACCCGCCCAGCACATGGCACCCGCCCAGCACATGGCAGGCCGAGATCAGGATACCAGTCAGCGCCTATAGCTCTGCATCCGACAGGACACAGATTCCCAGCACTTCGATGGCTCCTGGCTTCCCAGCCCAAGGGAGTCGCTCTCCCGGCCACTGGTAGCACCAGACAATTAACAGTAGAGCATCTCCGCTTCCTGCCGTCCCAGCAGCCCACTTTGGTTGGTGACATGGGGAAGGTCCGGCATGGAGGCAGGGTTCCCAGGGCAGGCCGCAACTGGGGGCAGGGACCACAGCTGCCAGGAAAGGCCGCCGAAGCAGGGGCTCCTGTACTCCCAAGGTCCCAGCAGGGGCCCAGAGGGACAGGACGCCTTGGCCCCCGGCCCTCCTGAAGACTCAGGGGTGTCAAGTCAAGAGTTGGCCTCCGGTGCCCAGGGACAGCAGTGTAGCTCAGACCCTGGCCATGGTCCTCCTGTCTCCATCCGCCTTCTGGACTCCACAGGCAGGGATCCCAGTGGCTAGCATCTGGAGTGGCCAGTTGGCGTGGCCATCAGCTGAGCTGGGGTGCGTGGGGATGAGGGATAGAGGGATACACTGGCAGGACAGACCAAAGTTGGAAAGCCCGGGCTGAGGAAATGTACCCTGGCGAGCTGCATGCTCAGCTGGCCCCGAACCAGCCAGACAGGGTGGGCACCCCGCCCCGTGCCGACCACAGGTGTCTCCGGTCCCCAGACAGAGCTGTGACCTGGCCCTGCTCTCTGCTGACAAGCTGGCCCACCATGGCGAGCCCCACTCTGAGCCCTGACTCCTCGTCCCAGGAGGCCCTGTCAGCCCCCACCTGCTCCCCCACCTCTGACTCTGAGAACCTCAGCCCCGATGAGCTGGAGCTGCTGGCCAAACTTGAAGAGCAGAACCGGTGAGTTGGGGCCTGGGGGCAAGGAGGGGCCTTGAGGGTGCAGCCTGAGCCCCAAACAGAAGTTCTGGGCTGCCCCCTCACACTCAGAATTGGGCCCGGCTCTGGGCAAAGTAACAGCCCACCAGAGGCTTCACAAGGGATGTCTGCGGTCCTCCTCTGAACCCTGCATGACGGCTCCCCCATTCTGGTGAGGAGACCGAGGTTCCAGGAGGCCCAGTGAATCTGGCCTCAATGACCAAGCCTTTGCTGGAGGGAGGAGGGAGGCTTCTCTGACTCTCCAGAACTGGGCCTCCCCCACTGTAAACATAGATTGACTGTAGCCCAGGCATAGCAAGGCCAACAGATCAGGAGAGGACTGCCATTATGTTACAGTCCCACGCGGAGAGGGTAGAGCATGGCCGGGGGGCCACAGCGGGGAGCACCAGGTCGGTCAGGAGGCAGAGGGAGCGAGGGGAAGCGTGGGGAAAGATCCTTTATTGTTGTTCCTGCAAGAAGGCAGGCTGAGGCAGGGGAGGTGGGCTCTGGGGGCGGGGGCCGCCTAGCTGCCTGGGACCTGGCCTTGGGCCGATGGCGAGGGGAGAGCCTGAGAAGAAAAGTGGTTGGTGGGTGGGTTCTGGACTGGCTGGTATGCACCCAAAAGGCGCAGAGGCTGGCCAGTCCCTCACCATTTCCAGGACTCCTTTAGGCCTGGGAGGGGCCGTCCCTCCAGGGTCAGAGAGGCCCCAGATGTCAAAGCATCAGAAACACATGGCTAGCTGGGTACACCTGGCAAGCCCCTCCCCCTCTCTGCTCCTCATCTGTAAAGCGCAGATCTTAACCTGCCCCTTAGGGTTGGTAGGACACTAAATGTGCTAATGCTCATGTGGCTCGGGTGCAGTGCTGGGCTTAGAATGGAGCCGGCCTAACCAGGGGCCCCAGGATAAGGACTGTGGCTCAGACAGGTCAGGGCACTGGCCAAAGTCGCTCAGCAAGTGCCCCGCAGCAGGAACCACTAGAGCCAATCCCTGGCGGCCCGGGGACCCCTGGGGGGATGGGGCCCACCTCCACCGGCCCTTCCTGCCCAGGCTCCTGGAGGCCGACTCCAAGTCCATGCGCTCCATGAACGGCTCCCGGCGGAACAGCGGCTCCTCGCTGGTGTCCAGCTCCTCGGCCTCCTCCAACCTGAGCCACCTGGAGGAGGACACGTGGATCCTGTGGGGCCGGATCGCCAACGAGTGGGAGGAGTGGAGACGCAAGAAGGAGAAGCTGATCAAGGTGGCTGGGGCAGCGGGTGGCCTGCACAGCCGTGGGACCACCAGACTGCGGCACCAGCGGAGGCCAGGGCTCTGAGCAGGGGCCCCGGAGCAGAGTGGAGATGTGCACGCACTCTCGGGGTGCCTGGCCAGGGCGGGAGGGGACAGCATTGAGTGGGGCCGGCGTCTCAGGCGCCCGTTGGTTTCCTGCCCCAGCACGTTCCAGAACGGAGAGGGGGCGGCTGGCTAAGCAGGGTGGACTCCGTGCTGTGCACTGGGCCCCGGGCCGGGGGTGGGTGAGCCCCGTGTCAGGGCTGGGCCTGGTGGCAGGGCGGCTGCACCGCTGAGTCCAGCGCCGCCTTCTGTCCCTTTCCCGTCCCGGCCAGGAGCTGATCCGCAAGGGCATCCCGCACCACTTCCGGGCCATCGTGTGGCAGCTGCTGTGCAGCGCTACGGACATGCCGGTCAAGAACCAGTACTCAGAGCTGCTCAAGATGTCCTCGCCCTGCGAGAAGCTCATCCGCAGGGACATTGCCCGCACCTACCCTGAGCACGAGTTCTTCAAGGGCCAGGACAGCCTGGGCCAGGAGGTCCTCTTCAATGTCATGAAGGTGAGGCCTGGGGCTGCCGGAGCACTGCCCACGTGGGCACGCCGTGGCCAGGCCTGCCCTGATGCGTGTGTGTTCCTGTGCAGGCGTACTCGCTGGTGGACCGGGAAGTGGGTTACTGCCAGGGCAGCGCCTTCATCGTGGGCCTGCTCCTCATGCAGGTAGGTGGCCTGCAGCCGGACTCGCCACGGGGGCCGGTGCCCTGGCTCTGCCCCACAGTGCTCCCTCCATCCAGTATCCTCATGGGCTGTGGCCTCCCTGCTCATCCACCTGTGGCCTCTGACAGCCGCCAGGCCAAGCCCCAGGCAGTGGGCGCAGTGGGGCTGGAAGGGTGGGTGTCCTGCCCAGCCCTCTCCCAGGGTTGGAGGAGGAGTTCAGGTGGGGGGCTCAGGCCAGCCAGTGTGGTGTTTCCTGGGGCCGGGGGTTTCCTCCAGAGAATCCAGGCTTAGGAAGGAGAACGGGGACAGGGGTGTGTGGGCCAGAGGGCATCCCATCTGTGGGTTCTGGAGGCAGCCAGAGCTGGGGTTCACCCCAGCCCCCCTGTTTCCTGCCAGGAGGCCATAGGCAGGAACCTCAGGCCTGGAGAGGTTTCCCATCAGTGAGCCAGGGGTGACACTATATACAGGGGTTTGTTGTGAGGGTCCAGGCAACCCGGCACAGTCTGTGTCCAGGAAACGTAAATAGAACAGAAACAGCACAGCGCCATGCCCTGGGCGCTTTCCACCCGCCTGTCCCGCAGATGCCCGAGGAGGAGGCCTTCTGTGTGTTCGTGCGGCTGATGCAGGAGTACCGCCTCCGGGAGCTCTTCAAGCCCAGCATGGCCGAGCTGGGGCTCTGCATCTACCAGTTCGAGTACATGTTGCAGGTGAGCAGGCGGAGGCAAGAGCAGGTGGCGAGCCTGCTCCCCTGCAGCCTGCGCCCGGGTGCCGACCCAGGCCCCCGTGGGTCTCTGAGTGACAATTCTGCGAGAAATCACTGCCAGTGGTCCTGCTCAGGAAGGGCCTGTCCTGATGGGCCCATGGGACACTGCCCAAGGGTGCTTCCAGGTACGCTGCGGCGCTGGAAGGAGGAAGTGTTGTCTGCCTGCCCATGCTGATTACCGGAGAGCTGCAGCCGTCTCTGTTTATAAATAGGTGTATAAATAGCAGCCCCTGCAGGGCCCGCCAGCCTGGCAGACAGAGCCTGTGTGCGTGCGTACACACATACACACACACACACACAGGCACACACATACACACACCCCTGCCTGCTCAGGAAGCCTGTCACAAGCACAGGCCCACAGAAGCCCCCAGGCCCACACCTCCCCCAGCCAGCACCTGGGAGCCCCGGGCCCGGGAGGGAGCTCCCAGCAGGCAGGGAGACAGCTGACAGTCTGCTCTCTTGGTAAAGAGCATGTCCAGGGGGTCCTAACAACCTTTTCCAGCCACAGTTTCCCCAGTTTCTGTCACTTTCCAGCAGTCTGAAGTTCAGGCCAGTCAAACGTGTGTCCCCTGAGCTTTGCTGGGCATGAAGCACCACAGGGCTGTGGGGGCACCAGAGACTAGCCAGTCACGAAATACGGGGTGAGCTGCTATGTGCTCACGCCATGCCCCACCCCTGGCTCTCCTGGTGAACTTGGGGAGTGATGTAACGCCCACTGAGCCTCGGAAGCTTTCTCTTGGGGCAATGGTGAGGGTCCCACAAGAAGCTATGCCAGTGCCTGTCCCCCACCATGTACACCCAGCACCCGCTACCAGCTGCTGCCCCCACCGGGTGGTGCCTGGGTTCCCGCCTCATGCTACTCAGGGTGCTTGGATGCTTCAGCCTCACCCAGAAGCAGTGCGGAGGGTGCAGAGGAAGGGAGCTGGGGCTGCCTGGGGCAGGTGGGGAAGGCTCCCTGGAGGTGAGGGTGCAGAGCCCAGCACTTCCAGGATGGAGCCTGAGGGCGCAGGCGGCTGTGCCTCCCAGCCGCCTCAGTGATGGCTTCCCCACCCCCAGGAGCAGCTCCCGGACTTGAACACCCACTTCCGCGCCCAGAGCTTCCACACGTCCATGTATGCCTCATCCTGGTTCCTCACGCTATTCCTGACCACCTTCCCGCTGCCCGTCGCCACCCGTGTCTTCGATATCTTCATGTACGAGGTGAGGACCCTGTACGCCCCTTCCTGGACACCCCACGCTGGAAGCGACTCCCAGCTGGGCCCAGGCCCAGGGAGGGCAGGCCCCAGGGGAGGAGTCAGACAGCTCCGTGGGACACCAGGACCCCGACGCACTGAACCGTGCCCTTGCAGGGCCTGGAGATTGTGTTCCGGGTGGGCCTCACCCTTCTTCAGGTGAACCAGACAGAGCTGATGCAGCTGGACATGGAGGGCATGTCCCAGGTAGGCCGCGGGGACCGGGTTGGGTGGGACTGCCCCCCATCGGGGGCACCTGGGCAAGCCAAGCCCTCCCGAGAGCTGGGGGAGGGCCCAGATGTCAGGGAGGAAGGACTGCTGAGCGTCCTGATTCTTTCCCATTATCCTGGCCCCCAAGGGGTCCCTGGGGGCCCAGCGTGGGCCCTGAGGAGCCCCCGGGCTCTGCCAGACACAGTCCAGGGCCAGCAGCCTGGCAGCAGGGACAGAGGAAGACCTAGGCCAAAGCCAAGCCCTGGGAGGCAACACCACCCTCTCCTGCTCCCGGCTCCGGGTCCCCCAGAGCCTAAGGCGGCGAGTACTAGCCAAACCCCAAGGCCTGGGTGGGGTCTCCCACCCAGCAACTGGGCCAGCAAGGGCCCAGCCTCCCGTCCAGCCGCAGCCAGCCAGCCGCCTTGCCCTGCTTCTCACGGCCGGGTACCCGTCTTGCGGGCCCCTGCCCCTCCCAGCACCCTCCAGCTGGCGCTTTGGGAAAGAATGCACAAAGGCCACGGCTGTGTCCACGAACACGGGCATCTATTGTCCGCATCTGCCAGAGGGGACCAGCTGGGCTGGGGAACATGAGCCAGCCTGGCCTCAAGGCGCAGCAACTGCATCCTCCAGCCGCCTGCATTAACCCTTTGCAGGGGCCCCAGGGGCCCTGGGATGGGGGCTGTGGGGGGGGCAGACCCCAGAGGTTCCAGCCACCCACATTCCTCAACCTGTTCAGTCTCCTCTCACGGCCGGAGGGCATCTGCGTGCCTCCCCCTTCCTCCCGAGGGTCCCGGTGCTCAGAGCCCACCGCACGCACCCTGGGCCGGCCCTCACCAGCTCCTGCAGCCTGCTCTTCCCCTACAAACCCAAGTCCTGGCTGCCAGCTGCCGCTTCTGCCCCTTCCTGCTTCTCACCCGCATCCGCTGGCTCTGCACACGGTGGCCAGGGTGTCCACAGCGGGCCGGGCCCTGTACCGAGGACATGGCATGCCTGGCTGACTGGCGGCCGCCCACCCTCCCTCCTGGAGCGCGCAGGCCCCCCTGCAGGGAAGCGGGGCGCAGCCGGGGCCAGGGCGGTGCCTGTGTTCAGGACCCCCATGTGGTGACTGCCGCCGTCCCCACAGTACTTTCAGAGGGTGATTCCGCACCAGTTCGACAGCTGCCCGGACAAGCTGATCCTCAAGGCGTACCAGGTCAAGTACAACCCCAAGAAGATGAAGAGGTCAGTGCCGGCGGGGATGCTGGCGGAAAGGGGGTCCCCGCGGGAGGGGAGCAGCCTCGTCAGCCCCCCCCCTCCGCAGGCTGGAGAAGGAGTACGCGGCCATGAAGAGCAAGGAGATGGAGGAGCAGATCGAGATCAAGGTGAGGCCCCGGGAGGTGCGGCCGGGACGAATGCCCCGGGAAGCGTCCTCCCGCTCTGGGGCAGGCGGCCGCTAGGGGGCGGCCCTGCCCCGCGCTACCCGGCCTCTGCCGCCGAGGGGTCCGCCCTCCGCCCGCCCCAGCCTGTGAGCGACGGCAGCCGGGGGCTGGAGACTCGGCGGTGAGCAAGGCGGCCGGGTCCCGGCCCTTGTGGGGCTCCCTCGTAGTGGGGGTACGGCCACGCAACCAGTAAGTAGAGAGTGTGGACTCCAGGAAGTATTGTGGGTAAAAACGGGCAGGGGAGGGTGCGGGGCTGTCCAGGGAGCCGCGCGGGAGGCCCAAGCACGGCAGCCGGGGTGTCAGAACGGGCTGCAGCGGCAGGAAGGCCGCCCTGGATGGTGGGGGCCCCGAGGTGGGGGCGGGACAGGGTCTGCGCCCACCTGTGGTTTCTCCATCCTCCCCTCCCTCCCCTTCCTTCTGTTTTCATCCTTCTACACATGATTTTAGTTATTCACTCAACAAGCATTGATTGAGCACCTACTGTATGCCAGAGGCACAGCAGAGACCGGTCCAGTGAGGGAGGGGGACAGACATGACAACAGACCCCAGCCTGGCTCTGTCCTCTTCATGGGCACAGTCCCACAGTGGCTGGGGCTGAGCCCCACAGACCAGGGCTTAAGTCCCAGCTCTACCAAGGACCAGTTGTGTGACCCAGGAAGGTGAATTCACTTCTCTGAGCCTCAGTGTCCCCTTCTGCAAAATGGGGGTGACACTTGTTCCAGTTATTATTACTGTTATTACCACTAGCACCACTTTCATCATCATCTCCACCTCTTCAAAGAGACAGAGGCAGAACCTAGATTAGAATCTGGGTCACCTGCCCCCACTACCTAAGGGGGAAAGAGAGCATCGCTGCCCTGGCCCTCTCTGTAGGTCTTCCAGAGTTTTCAAGCATCTCCCTCTCTCAGGAATGGCAGCTTGACTTATGCACCAGTCCAAACATGTGCCCATCTTGCCCACGCACAAGACAAGGGTGTGATCCCGTTGTTTACCACGAGGGCCACTTGTATCTGGGGACACAGCAGATCCTCAGTCCACATGCCAAGCCCAGAAATTTCCCATGAGAGGAGCCTGAGAGCCCCACAGGTTTTCAAGGATTCAGGCAGATGCCTTCCCCCAGGGCCCTGCCCTTTGCTCTTTCACATTTATGCTATTTTAAACATACCTGGGATTTGTTTTAATCAGGTATGGTAAGGTGACAGACACAGAAACAACTGCCTTTGTAAGAAATTTATTATAGTTCCCAAGAGAAGGGGGCACGCCTCACCTTTCGGGGTGCACAGGGAGGCCCAGGGTCAGGCAGAAGGCAGGCAAGACAAAGCATGGGCATGAGTCTTTACTGCACTTTCCACAGGAAGGCAGGGGCCAGGCAGTGTGAGCAAGTGTGAGCGAGTTTAGCACGGGCTGGTTTGAATAATTTCTGCCAGCTCTGAGCTATAGGAGTGGTCCCTAATTATCCTGGGACGTTTAAGATAGGGGAACTCTTGGCTGGGAGTGTGAGAGTCAGATAGGGAGGCGGGTGGGGTGTGGGCTTCAGATGGGCTGGTCTGTGTGTGAGAGGCTGGCAGGCAGTTGTTCACTATCTCTAGGAACTAGCTAGCCCTGGGAGGGTAGACTCCCCAGGAGCAGCAAGGCCACAGGATGTCAAGGCATCGAAAATACAGCACATTTAAAAGAAAAAAAGAAGGCCAATTTGCACACAGCCCCCCGAGTCCTTGTTCACCCCTGTCTTCCATCTGGAGTGAGCAGGAGAGGTGTGCTGTCAGTCGGGTGTATCTGACTCCCCCACCCAAGACTTTCTGTGCTTAGGCAGTGGTTGGTTGAGGCCAGAGAGGGGAGAGCAATCCAAGGGCCAGATGTCAGGGCTCTGGCTTCCAGATGTGCCAGAGACCTGAGCTGGATACAGCCCTGACTCAGTTTCCCCAACCCATGACATGCGTCGATGACCATCAATCAAGTCTGCTATTCTCTCTGACCGCAGTTGCTTCCTGGGAGTGTCTTGGGTGTTTCCATCCCCTTCTTCTCCCTGGGAGAAACCAGGAACTGGTCTGTGTGTGATCCCCAGGGAGGTGGGACCCTCACTACTCTGCTGACCCGAACTATTTATGTACCTACTTCTTAAGGGGACCTCCGCTGGGACTAGGTGCAGGGCATATACAAACCTTACCTGCTTCCCAAAGGGCCATGGGGGGTGCAGAAACACAGATGCCTAACCCGAATCCGTCAGAGCAGGAGGAAAAGCCAGAGCCAGGGAGAGAAGCGCCAGAACCGACCAAGGCCAGGGCGAGTGACAAGTGTCGTGCAGAGCTGGCACTCACTGGCTCACAGAAATTGAGCTGTCCGCCCAACAGAAGCATGAGTGATCAGCAAGTCCCCCCTCGCCTGGACCCAAATGCCAAGAGCAGTTTGTCGGATAACTGAATTTAACCCGGGAGCTTGAAGCAAAGCCATCAGGGGCGGTGGGGGGGGGACTGTCTTCCCCCCAAAATGAGAGACCTCTGCCCTGTGGTAGGCGCCATATTGGCCCCCGACAGGCCCAAGCGCGGGGTAGAAACAGACTCCCAAGGTGGGTGGGGGTGCTCACTGCCCCCCCCCGACAGAGTGCACATCCATTGAAGCCATCACATTATAAGGTTTGTTTTTTAAAAATAAATCTAGTGAGCCATTGGGAAGGAATTGGCCCTGTTTTCTGGAATCACTGACCCAGAACATAAGACGCTGGCTGCATCCTGCCTGGAGGTGGCCAGGCCCCCGAGGGGACAGACACACACCGTGTGTACATGAGTGGGAGGGAGCTCTGACACCCTCTCCCCCGTCACCCCACAGAGGCTTCGGACGGAGAACCGGCTCCTGAAACAGCGGATAGAGACCTTGGAGAAGGTGAGGGGCTTGGCACCAGCCTGGATCCCCAGGCCCCAGGCAGCACCCAGCAGCCAGAACCGGCGGGCTGAGGAGCAGGGTGCAGATCCCGCGGGCCCTCCCTGAGCCCCTCCTAGATTTGGGCTGCCGGATAACTGGGGCCCCGGGGAAACGTCCCTTGAGGTTGGTCAGCTGAAAACTCCACAATCCACCTGTGTCCCATGTCCCCCCCCACCCCCAGGCTGCCCGGGTTGGGGAAGGAGGCAGAACTGCTTCCTTGACTGAGGGGTCCCGGAACTGGGCCACGACGCACCCCACCCTGTAATTTGGAAGCCTCACCCTCAAGAGAAAGGAGACTCAGAGCAGCGGGGGGAGTGGCCTTGCCACCGGCACCAGGGTGGGGTGCCACCGCCACGGCCCTGGCCCCGACCTGTTTTGAAAGATGGGGTAAAGGTGGGCCCCATTTCCTGCCCCAACGCCTGGAGGCTGGTTCTGCCTCCCAACTGGAACACACCCTGCGGCCCAGGGCGGCCACCCTGCCGTCACCCTGGATGGCTCCCCCTTGCTCCAGCGTGAGGGCCAGGGCGCTCATCTGGCCGGCCAGTCCCGAGGGGCAGGCCCCTCCCCGCGGCACGCAGACCCCTCCCCAGGACGGAGCTGCTCTGGCTTGGACCTCTGGGTCCTCTCCTGCTGGTTCTCTGGGTCTCCGGGCCCACTCCTCCCACCCCTGCTTCTAGAAGTAGTCCAGCGCATTAGTGACGAGTGGTTCTTGTCTGTCTCCCCCTCTCCTGTCCCCGTGCCTTCTGCTCTGCCTCCTCCCCCTGTCACTCGGACCCCTCGCCGGGTAGGAGAGCGCTGCTCTGGCTGATAGGTTAATCCAGGTACTGTAGCTTTTCGTCTCCCCTTCCCTCCTCCTTCCTGGCCAGGGACACGACACCAGGAGGCACTCCTTCCCCAGCCGCTGCCACAGGGGGCGAGGGGGGCAGGCCTGGCGTTGCGCATGGGGGTGCCTGGGGACCGCTTCACAGGGGAGACAGGCTGCCCTGGGGGGAGGGGAGAGCGTGTGAAAGCAGGGTGCATGTGGGTGCGTCTGGGCTACATGCACATGTACAGAACACCTGTGACCTCCAGGGGACCCTGAGGGTGCATCAGCGACAGGCCCTGGTGTGTGCACTGCGCGCGCGCGCGCGCGCACACACACACACACACACACACACACACACACACACTCCCCGCCCTCGTGCCCCTCTCTGCTTCTACCTGCAAGCCTGCCAACTTCTCTTATCTGCTTCTGCTACTGCCTCATCTTGAATGGCTTTATCTGGAAACTTCTGCCTGCCACCCAGTGGCTCTGAGCCTGGGATTGGGGGGCCCAAATTGGGTGTGGTGATAGGATGAGGCTGGGGGGTGCTCTTAGCCCGGGCAGGTGAGGGCCCCGTCGGCCAGAACTGCAGGGGGTGTCCAGGAGCGGTGTATTTCCCCCTCCCAGCCTTGGCCGGGCAGGCCCCCACCCTCACCAGCAGGGAGGGCCAGGCCTCCGCGCTGCCGTCGGCCCTAGATAACCACTGTTTCTCCTCACTCGGGACAGAGGCCAAGAGCCAGGAGCGGGGAGCGGAAGGCGCTTCCCGTCTCCATTTAAGCCCCCAGAGCCTGGGCCCAGGGCGGGTCTGCCCCTCCAGGCTCTTCCCGGTGTCCTGCCCCTGCCTCCCCACCCACGTGCTCAGGCCCGATGAGGCACCCCATCCCAGGCTCTGAGTGCGGGAGGCTCGCCCCTCGCCCTTCAGCTCACCTCCCGCTCTCTGGGCCTCCCCCGAAGGCGGGCCCGAGGCAGGGCCTGGGGTGTGAGCAGAGGGTCACGGCACCCGTCCCCGCTGTGCTCAGGGGCAGGTGACACGGGCGCAGGAGGCCGAGGAGAACTACGTCATCAAGCGGGAGCTGGCGGTGGTACGGCAGCAGTGCAGCTCGGCGGCCGAGGACCTGCAGAGGGCGCAGACCACCATCCGGCAGCTGCAGGAGCGGCAGGTACGAGGCCGGCCCGCGCCCGGCTACCTTCCGGGCTCCTGCGCCAGTTCGCGATAAGCCTTCCCGTTACTTTGGGGGGGCTGCGGCGAAAGCGGGGAGTTGGGGGCCACTCAGAGTGGGTGCAGTTTCGCCCTTAGCCTCAGCACGGGGGCCCCCGGTAACCAGGCTCCCTGCAGGGCTCCCGCCCTCCGCTGAGGCGGCTGTGGTCCCTTGGGGGAGCCCTGGAGTCTCCCAAGGGCCAGCTCTCCAGGAGAGCAGCTGAGACGAGGGACAGGAGAGGGGGCTCCCTCCTCCGGAGCCCCACACTTTACGGTCAGAAGAGGGTCTGGTCTGAGCTGGCGGGGTGGGGGCGCGGGACCAGCCCACGTCTGTCCTGGGTCAGGAACTCAGACCAGTGGTGGGAGGGCCCTGGGGCTGGAGCACGGCGTGTAGTCCGCTGCCCCGGAGGGGGCTCTCAGGCCCCGCCTACCTGCTGGCCTGCGGGCAGTGCCGCCAGCGCTACAACCCCACCGCTGCGGGGGCAGCAGGGCCAACGGGGAAACCAAGGCTGGCTCGTCCCCACCGTCGCTCAGTGCCCCCTTTGGGGTCAGAGGCTTCACCTGCCACCCCGGAGCTCTGGCCATTAGGGTGCAGAGACAGGCGAGGCTGGGAGGCAGGTGCTGGAGAGGGCGCTTCTGGGGCACGGTCTTCTCTCCAGGACAGGCCGCAGGGGAGGCACAGCCTGGCAGGGCCCCGGGTCGGTGTGGGTCCCAGAGTCCACCTGAGCCAAGGGGGGCCGCCGGTATCCAGGGGCCTACAGGACCCACACGGTCGAGGGCAGTGAGCAGGCCCGGGAGCTGGGTGGGAGGCTGTGAAGGAGGCCCTCATGTGGAAGTGGTGGCAGCCAAGGGGGCCAGGCCACCTCCCAGAGAACCACCAAGATGAGGCCGCGGCTCTGGCCCAAGGGACTTCCCTGGCCCACCAGCCAGGCCTCTGTCACGGAGCCAGGCGGCAGCCGTCACCCCTGGAGTCCCCACCGGGGCGCCGTAGGAGCTTCTGGATGCCCTGCAAGAAAGGGGCCTCTGCACACTCCATCCTATTTTGAAATGGGGGGTGGAGAGGAGGGAGGTAGAGAGGGTAAGTGGGGGGCAAGAGCACCCTAGCCTGACCCTGCCTGCACCTCCACCCACATCTGGGCGCTGACCATGCACAGGAGGGGTGCCTCGGAGAGCCCGTCCTCCGCTAGCCACAGTGAGCCTGGGAACCAGTCACTGGCGTCCTTCAGGCAGCCCGAGGCCAGGGGCAGACCCCTTCACCAGGTCCCCTGTGTGGTTTCCCAGCAGAGGCTAAGCACAGAGCACCTGAGCCTCCAAGATGGGGGTCGGCTCCCCTCACCCCCTCTACCCATGCCCTGAGCCCCCCTCGCAGCCCAGGGGTCCCAGGGAGGGCCCAAGGCCTGGGCCCTGGCAGCTAGTAGGAAGGCTGCCTGCCCCCAGGACAACCCGCGCCTCACAGAAGACTTCGTGGCCCACCTGGAGACCGAGCTGGAACAGTCACGGCTGCGGGAGACGGAGACCCTGGGGGCCCTGCGGGAGATGCAGGACAAGGTCCTAGACATGGAGAAGGTATGACTGGGCAGCGGGTGGGCACTAGGGGACTCTGGGAGGCTGCTGGGTGCACTTGGAGAGGGGCATGGCCAGACCCTAGCCAAGAAGAGGTGGTTGGGGGGCCAGTGGGGCATGGCCTGGAGTCAGACACTCCACCCCTGCCGAGAAGCCCGGGGTGCCTCCCTGGCTCACTTGTCCTCTGCATCTTCCCACATGGCCTCCCCTAGGGTCTGGGCCCTTGGGACATCAGGCCCTTACTTACAGACCCTCCCAAGCCCTGGAGGCACACACACACACGCATGTATGCACAGCTCCTTGAGGTGCACGCCTGCCTCAAGCAGCCAGCCATGTGGTGGCTGTCCTGGGCTCCCTGGACACATGTCCCACCTGTGTGTCTCCCCCAGCGCTGGGTTCCAGGATGGAGAGGGAGGGAAGGCCCCTGCCTGTCAGCGTTGCTCTCCCAGACTCCACTCTCATGGAAAAGGCACCCAGGGGGCTGATCGGGGCCACCTTCTCCCACCTACAGCCCTGAAGGGGCCCCAGGCCTCCTGGGTCTGTCCTCAACTCCTTTCATGCTGACTCAGTATTGACTCAACACCCACAGAGCCTGGGGGAACAGGGAAGTGTCCTGGTCACTAGGACCCCTCACAGACTGGTAGGAGCTCTGCATTATCTGGGGTGCCCACCCAGGTGGGCATCTGGGCCCTAGCCTTGTGTGGGGCTATCTGCCTCACAGTCCTCATCAGCCAACCCAGCACTGGACAGAAGTGGCACCTGGTAGATCCACGGCCCTCCCTCCAGCTCCCAGAGCCAAGCAAGGACCAGTGAGGACCTTAGGCAGCAAGCTGGACTTCTGTCCAAGAAGCTAGAACACAAATCCCACCCCTGAGCCCTTGGGACGCCCTCAGCCCCTTCAGTGGGGAGGAGCTGCCTGGCCTGGGGTGGGGGGCAGGGACAGGGTGCTGTAATCCGCGGGCTTCTCAGCTCCCCCTGGGACAGGTTCTGGGTCTCGGGTTCTCAGGCGGGTGGGCGGCTGGAACGTTTATGGGGGGGTGGGTGTAGCCTAGGACAGTCCCGTCAGAGCAGGTGCTGGCCTGCTTCTCGTGGTCCTGGGACGGCTCCCAGCTCCTCCTGGGTGCAGAGTGCACCCACTCTCAGCAGGGCTGCCCAAGGTGGCTCTCGGGGGAAATGTGCGCTGGGGTCCCGGTTCTGCAGCCCCTGGGCTCTGATCACTTCTCTTCCTGCAGAGGAACAGCTCGCTGCCTGACGAGAACAACGTGGCGCAGCTGCAGGAGGAACTGAAGGCACTCAAGGTGCGGGAGGGCGAGGCGGTGGCCTCCGCGCGGGAGCTGAAGCTGCAGCTGCAGGAGCTGTCGGACACCTGGCAGGTGACGCGCACGAAGCGGCCGGGCGCGCCCTCCAGGCGGCCCTGCAGCCGGGACTGACCCTGGCCTCTGCCCCCAGGCCCATCTGTCCCGCGGCGGCCGCTGGAAGGAGTCCCCGCGGAAGATGGCACTGGGCGAGCTGCAGGACGAGCTGATGAGCGTGCGTCTGCGCGAGGCCCAGGCGCTGGCCGAGGGCCGCGAGCTGCGGCAGCGCGTGGTGGAGCTGGAGACACAGGTGGCCGCGCGCTGGGGACGGGCACGTGGTATCGCGGGCGGGCCCCTCGGCCGGGCCGTGACCCCGCCCCCGCCCTGCGTGCCCCCTCCCAGGACCACATCCACCGGAACCTGCTGGACCGTGTGGAGGCGGAGCGCGCTGCGCTGCAGGAGAAGCTGCAGTACCTGGCGGCGCAGAACAAGGGGCTGCAGACGCAGCTCAGCGAAAGCCGCCGCAAGCAGGCGGAGGCAGAGTGCAAGGTGCGCGCCCGCCCGCGGCCTGGCTGCGGGGGCCCCGGCCCGCCGCGCGCCTGACCTCCCCTCTCCCTCGCCCGCAGAGCAAGGAGGAAGTGATGGCCGTGCGCCTGAGGGAGGCGGACAGCATGGCGGCGGTGGCCGAGATGCGCCAGCGCATCGCCGAGCTGGAGATCCAGGTGAGCGGCGGGAAGGGCGCGGGCGGCGGGCCCCAGGGCGGGTGCCGCCCTGACCCCGCGCGCCCTGGCCGCCCGCAGAGGGAGGAGGGCCGCATCCAGGGCCAGCTGAACCACTCGGACTCCTCGCAGTACATCCGCGAGCTCAAGGACCAGATCGAGGAGCTGAAGGCCGAGGTGGGCGGCGCGGGCGGGGCGCGGGGGCCTCGGGGAGCCGAGCGGGGGAGGCCGGGGGTCGGACTCCGCCCGCGGGGCGTCCGTGCCCGCCTGCAGCGCCGGTCCCGCCCCAGGTGCGGCTGCTGAAGGGTCCGCCGCCCTTCGAGGACCCGCTGGCCTTCGACGGGCTCAGCCTGGCGCGGCACCTGGACGAAGACTCGCTGCCATCGTCCGACGAGGAGCTGCTGGGCGTGGGCGTGGGCGCGGCGCTGCAGGACGCACTCTACCCGCTGTCCCCGCGCGACGCGCGCTTCTTCCGCCATCTGGAGCGGCCGGCCAAGGACAGCGAGGGCAGCTCCGACAGCGACGCCGACGAGCTGGCTGCTCCCTATAGTCAGGGCCTGGACAACTGAGGCCGTGCCCGCGCCCGGAGCCAGGGGCCGCTGCCTGTTCGTCCACGGGCTGCTGGACTGCAGAAACTGACGCCCACCCGAGGGCCCAGCGCAGCGGGGTGAGAGGGTAGGGCCGGAGGCTGAGGATCACAGGGTCCCGGCAGGCCGCCCCTCCCCAGCAGTGTTCACACGTCTTGGTTCGTACCCCTCCGGGCCCAGTTACCTGGGGGGGGGGTGCCCCTCTTAGCAGCCAGGGCAGGGGACAACCCAGAGGTCCCGGGACTGGATGAGCAGGAAGCTCCCTCCTTCCAGCAGTTCTGGGACAAGGGCGGCCAGGCCCGTAAGGGCCTAGGAGGTAGAGGAGGCCTGAGGAAGAAGGGCAGCTCCAAGCTGGGCTGTACCTCCCACCATGCTCCTGGGGACCCTGGCCGCAGGGGACACACGGCCAGGCTGGGCTTTCCTGCCTGGTGCAGGCATTGTGGCCCCTGCAGCAGAAACCAAAGCCCCCCTACTGTGTGCAAGGCACCAGGGTGTGCGCGGCTGGTGGGAACCAGCCCAGGCCAGGGCAGCGACTGTCTCTGCTTCTGGGGCCCAGAGCAGCTGCGAGGAAGTGAAGACATCCCCTCTCCCCAGCGCCCCACATCTTCCTCTGTGAGATGCCCCCGTCGCACCGTCTTGGCCAGCGATGGAAGGGCTCCCTGACCCAGGCTAGCCTCTCTGCAGGGGCCCTCAGCCCCCGCTCCCCTTCCTGTGCCCCTAGCCTCGCTCTCCAGCCAGGGTCAGGGCCAAGCCCAGGGAAGGAGGCTCCCCCAGGGAGCTGCCTGCCCTCGCCTGCCCCTGCTGGCCCTGGGGCCTCTATGGAGTCAGAGCTGAGAACGGTGCCAAAGTCCAGCGATGTCCCCAAACCCCCACCCCCACCCCCGCCTCGTGACCCCCGGGGCTGACCCCTGGTGCTCCTGAAGCCTCGAGCAGCAGCGCCACAAGCAGTCTCCATGGCGCCCCCTGGGGTGGGGACCCATGCTCAGCCCCCCTTCCTGGTCACCCACTCCTCAGTGTTACAATGTCTGGAGACCAGAGTGGGCATCTTGGGGCTCTCCTATGTGCTCCCACACTGCCCACCACCATTTTGCACACTGCCTGTTCACACTCCACATGTTGCCCAGGTGGGAAAGACGGAAAATAAAGTGTATTTACACAGTCACAGATAAGGGACACTGAGTGTGGAGTGCCTGGAGGAACTGCAAGCAGACCGGGTCCCCAGCCCCTTTCCTGCAAAGCCAGTGGGCTGTCCTCGCCCTTGGGAGCCTCCTTCCATCTAAGAGAATCAGGGGCAAAGGTCACAGCAGGCCAGCTAGGGTGCTGAGAGGCTGCCCGGGATGGAGGCAGCATGGAGAGGAAAGCAGGACATTCACTGAGGGGTGGGAGCAAGTGTGGGGGCTGGGGGGGGAGCACGTCAAAGAGGACCCCAGAGGTCAGGATGCCAGACGGATCCTTCCAGCATGCATTTGCAGAAGGGTGGCTCTGGAGATGGGTGGGGAGGAGTGGGTTGGGGGCATGATTCCCACTGGGGTGACTCAGCTTGGGCTTCCCCTGAGAGACAATGGGGAGTGTGAGGTCTTGGAGCTTCAGGAAGGTGCAGGATCTGGTTGTATTCATTCAGCACACGTTCACTGAAGCCTTCAGGGTGCTCTTCTTCCGTGCCTGGTTCTGAGGGACTCCCAGTGCAGCAGAGACAGACGTGGGGTGGGGGTCGGGGCTGAGCCTACGCGCTAGCGTGTGAAGTGTTGGGGGATCAGGGAAAGCTTCCTGTAAGAGGCTAAGGTGTTGGAGCCGGATCCAAGGGCAAAAGCATAAAGCCAGATGAGGCAGGGACCAGCAGGGGACACATGATGTCCTGTGATGAGGAACAGGAGAGAGTGGACATGGCCATACCAGGAACTGGCTTCTCTGCTCTGGAGCCACAGTTTGTGCTTTGAACTGAGGGCACCGGGGAGCCAGGGAGAGCTTAGGTAAGGGGACCACAGTTGGGGGGTCAGTGATGCCAGGGCAGAGTCCAAACTAAGCTGGGCGGTGGGGAGCAATGAGTGGAGGCTTCCCTGGGGGAAGGAGGCCCAGAGGCAGCGTCCTTTGTGGGGTTCCCCCATGGAGCTTGCTTCCTGCACACACCGGCTCCCAGGGTGGCAGTGGCAGGGTCCCAGTGGGACAGAGCCAATTGTCTCCTGTGACCCCAGGCTGGGAGGTGGCCATATCTTGGGTGGGGACAGGCAGGACTTGGTGATCTGTGTCTGACAGAAACCTGGCTAGAGTGGACTTCGGGGACTGGGTCTGGGGGCAGAAACAGGGCTACGGGCCTAACATGGGGTCATACCCTGTCCTTTCACCTGCCCTGGGGGCTGTGGTCCCCACTGGCCTCTATCATTCTTGCTATGAAGCAGAAGACCCTTAAGGCAGAAAGGGCTAGAGGATGTTTCCTGTAGGGGAACTTGGGATAAAGGGCCTGGGCTGGGCTTGGGCAAAGGGGGTCCATGGTCAAGGTAACTGGGCCTTGGAAGGAAGGGCAAGGAATTCAGATGGGGAGATATATGGGGACAGAGGATGACTGTGAAGACCTTCACTGTGAGCCACAGGCGAGGACGCCTGCCTGAGGGGCTTGCAGAGAACATGCTAAGTTGGGAGAAAAGGTGAGGCCCATGGATTGGCAGGCAGAAAGGGGCACAGAGAGGACACCTGGTGAGGAGGGGCAATGGGCAGACTACCTGGTCTCCCACCCAGCCTTAGGCGAGGCTACTTCCCCAAAGACCCCACACGGCACAGTCAGCCCCCTAGGGACACGAAATCCTTGGCGGGGCCCTAAGCCCTATACTGGGTCCTCCTGACGAATCTCGGGCCCTGCTACAGGCCTGCCTTCTGCACTGGAGCCTCCTCCGTGAGCAGAGCGCAGTGCACCCAGAGTTGGGAGGGTGCAAGGTGGGTACGAAGTCGCCCTCTTTCGGGCTACCCCTCCCTCCCAAACGCACCCCAGGGTGGCGAAGGTAAGGAGGTTGTGCATTGTGAAGAGGGGCCTCAGGAAAGGCCCCAGACTTGCCCGACCTGAGCCAGCCCTTCCCACGTGTCTACCCCCAAGGGACGCCGGCTCCCCTGACGGACTGTAGAGTGAGTTTTGGTCTTTTGTCCATGCCAGCCACACACTGGCTCAACCTCTCGGTCGCGCGGCTCCACCTGGCCCAACGTCAGACGGGAAAAGGCCCGCGTCCACGCACGTGGGGGCGCGGCGCTGGACGGGTCGCACCGCTACCCGGTCTCGCGTGCCGTCTTATCCTCCGTACAGGAGCCGCTGCTGCCCAGTGTGCGCAAGGCCTTCAGCCGGGCTACAATCTACTCGCGCACAGCCGCCAGCACCGCCTCCGGCCCGGCCCCAGCGGCTACCGCAAAGGTGCCCAGGCTACAACTTCCAGGCTTTATTGCAAACTCTGAGCTGCGCGCGGCTGACAACACAGGACATGGGGCGGGGCACAGGCCGATGAGGGCGGGGCTCCAGGGAAGGGAGGGAGTCCTAGGCCAAAGGGGCGGGGCTCGAAGTCAGAACCTTGGCCGTAGGCGGGTGGGTCGGGAGCCTCGGCCACAATTCTAGGGCTCTAGGGGGCTGAGACCGACCCACAGACCAGGACTCTGGCGGAGGAGGGTAGGGGATCTAAGACAGGCGTATCGGAGGGGCGAATCTTAAAGCTGGGGCGGGGTGAGTGAGTGGGCCCACGGTCTGGCTCAGTGGAAGGTCTCCACCTCCACCACGGTCCAGTCACCCTGTGGGGAAGCCACGTCGTCCGGGGAGAAGCTGGTGACCGAGGTGATGCTGGCGCGGGACTCGTCCAGGGGAGACAACAGTTCGGCCCAGCGGCCCAGTTCAGCATCGCTGAGCGCAGTCCGGGCACCGCCCCCGACGCCACCGGCCCCCGAGCCCCCAGGGTCCCCACCGACGTCGCCGCCCGCGGCACCTTCGGCTGCCGCGAGCAGCAGCGTCCGGCTCAGCAGGTGCTGCACGACGCTCGCCTGCAGCGCCCCCAGCGGCAGCTCGCCCAGGCGCGCCGGCTTTGCGCCCCGCGGGACCACCCCCGCCGCTGCCGCCGCCGCCGCCGCCTTCCCACCGCCCGCGCCAGACCCAGGCCCAGGATCCAGCACGCCGGAGGCGGCAGGCGCCGACTCGGGCCCTTCGGCCTCGTAGATAGTACACAGGCCCTCGGCGGAGCCCGACCCGGCAGCGGGAGACCAGGGAAGCGGCGCCCCTGCAGGGAGAAGGGCCACGCTGTGCCCGAGTGGGAGCCCCGCCGCCGCAGGCCCGCGCCCTGCCCCGCCCCTCCACGACCACGCCCCCGAGCGGAGAGGCTTCGCCTCCGACCCCTCCCCAGCCCTCCCGGCCCCGGTCTCAGGACCCACTGCCCCCGAGGAGCACCTCGCCCGCAGCCCTGCTTCCTGCACTCCCGCCTCACCCCCTCGGCTCGGCGGCATGGAGGGCTGCTCACCTGGGGTGCCACGAACGGCCAGCGGCGGCGCGGGGCTGCGGCTCCAGGAGGCCGGATGGCAGGCAGCAAGCTCGGCGTCGGCGGGCGGGGAGCCAGCAGCACCGCCCTCCGGCCCGCTGTCGTAGCCGCGCAGCTCCTCCGGCGTGCTCGTGGCGCTGCTGCTGTGGCCCGCTAGGTCCGGGCCGCTCAGCGTGCTGGATGGGCTGCGCGACGGCGGCGGCGGAGCCGGGGCCAGCGCCAGGGTCAGCCGCGGGCCCGAGACCGGGGCATCGGGACCTGGGGTCGGAGGACGGCGTGGGGCGTGCAGAGGGGGTGAGGCCAGCGGAGAGGGGGATGCCTGCAAAGGGAGCGCGGCCAGGGAAGGTGGGGCCTGCGAAGGGAGCGTGGTCAGGGGGAGCGGAGGGACCTGCAGCGTCGGGGAGGCAGGGGGAGAGGGAGGGGCCTGCGGAGGAGGCGTGGCCAGGGGCTGCGGAGGGACCTCCAGAGTGGAGGAAGCAGGGGGAGAGGGAGGTGGGGCCTGCGGAGGGAGTGTGGCCATAGGGGAGAGAGGGATCTGCAGTGGGGTTGAGGCAGGGAGGGAGGGCGTGGCCTGATGAGGGGGCGTGGCCAAGCGAAAGGGAGGGACGTGCATAGGGGGAGAAGGAGGGGTCTGTAGAGGAGGCGAGGTCATGGGGAGGGGAGAGACCTGCAGAGGGGGTGAGGCAGGGGGAGAGGGAGGGGACTGCACAGAGGGCAAGGCCAGGCAATGTGGACCCTCAGGAGGGGATGCGGCCATGGAGGAGGGAGGGACCTGAAGAGGGGGCAAGGCCAAACACGGTGGGGCTGGGTAAGGGGGCGTGTCCAGGGTAAGAGGAGAAGGAGGAGCCTGCAGAGGGGCCTCGGCTGAAGACGGAATGGCCTGCAGAGGTGTTGGGGTCTGTGTAGGGGGCAGAGTCTGGGGAGAGGGCAGGGCTGGAAGAGGTGTGGTCAGAGGAGACGGTGTCTGTGAGTGAGGCATGGCCAGAGGCGGGATTTGTAGAGGGGGCGTGGCAAGGGGAGAGGGAGGAGCCTGCAGAGACAGCGAGGGCAAGACCGACGTAGAGCACAGGGGACCCTGCGGAGAGAGGCTGGTCAGAGAGGCTTGCGAAGGGAATGTGGCCAGAGGAGGGTCCTGCGTTGGAGGCGTGGCCAGTGCACAGGGCGGAGTCTGAAGAGGGGGCGGAGACAGGAAAGGACTATCCCGCTGAGGAGGCGTGGTTAAAGCGGAAAAGGACGGCGGAGTGGGTGTGGTCAAGGGAGAACGCGGTGTCGGAAGAGGGGGCAAAACAGAAGAGTGGGTGGGGGTCATACTTTGCGGAGGGGGCGCCACTGATGGAGAGAATGGAACCAGAAAAGTGGCCGAAGGAGAGGTGGGCAAGTCCGGAAAGGAGGCACCCTGATGTGTGGGTGGAGCCTGAAGAGGGGGTGTGGCTGGAGGGGAGGGGAGGGTCTGAAGAGAGAATGTAGCTGAGGGAGGAGGGGCTAGTATAAAGGGCGTGGCCAAAGGGCAGGGTAGTGTCGAGGGGGGCGTGGTCGGAGGCGAGGGCGGGAGCGTGTCTGGCAGGCCAGTGGCTGTGGTGAGGGGAGGTGGTGCCGGCTGTGCGGGCAAACCTGGCGGAGGGGGTATGGTCGAAGGAGTAGAGGGTCGAGGCCCGGGGACTGAGCTCCTCCTTGGGGGCGTGGCCTGTGGGGGGCGCAGAACCTGCTGCCCTTTCGACTTGGACTGCGAAGAATGCCCCGGAACGCGGGGTGTTCCTGCGAGCGAGGCCCCAGAGCGGGCTGGAGAGGACAGAGGAGTGGCGCTGGAGGCCGGGGGGCGCGAAGCTGGCCTCTGGAGGCCCCCGCCGGCGCTGGGTCGCCTTCTGGCGGCGGCGCTCGGCTCCACTGTGCTGCGCTCCGGGGCGCTGCCCACTGATTTCTTGGGGGCCTCGTTCGGAGGCCGCGGCCGAGCACTCGGGGCTGCTCGGGGGAGACCCACCTCAGCGCCCGCAGCCCGGGACCGACGGGAGATGGCCGGGGAAGAGGTGCCTGGAGGGGGCCCCGGTAAGTCTGGGGACAAAGCAGAAGGCCGAACGGTCACCGATCTTTCCCGGCTGATGCCTCTCACTGCCCAGGAACCCCGCTCCTCCCCAGGCCGCCTACCTCTCCGTGCCGCGGCGCTCAGGGCGCTCCTTCTGGGCGCTTCTGGGGCTTTTCCTCTGGCCGCAGCATCCTCAGCTTGGGGCCGGAGCCCCTTCTGCCCAAGAGGGCCTCCCCTGGGGACAGGAGGGAACGCGCTCAGGGCAGAGCCCCCGCCCCTGCTTCCTCTCCCAAGTTTACATTATCCCGTCTGTGAAATGAGGCATATGGGCTCCTGCGGGCCATTAATGGCTTTCCACTGGCGCCCACTGACGTGCAAGGGCTCCCACGCCCCAATTCAAGTGCAGAATTAAAAGGTTCCAGATAGTGACACTAACCCTTGGCTAAGGGACTAGGGGAGAGGAGGCGTGTTACCTGGCGGTGCCGCTGGAACGCCCCGGGCTAGAGACAGAGGCCGGGCTGGGGGTCTTGGCAGGGGGCCGCTCCCCTCTCCCAGCCACCGGGGGCCTGGAGGCTGCGGGTAGAAGACGAGTCAAGACCATGCCAGGAGACGGGCGGGAAACTGGGGCCTCAGAAAGAAAGGGGGTAGGAAAGTGGCGTCCGAATCGGGGAAAGGGGCCGGTACCCGGGCTCCGGGGGCCGGTCCCGGCGCTCCGCGTTGGTCCCACCCGGGAAGCAGTCTCTGGGACGACGGCTGCCCGGACGCCCCCAGCTCGCTCAGCCAGGGGCCCTCGCCCCGCAGCTCCCGCGGCTCCCAGAACTCGGAGGGCCGCGCTGGTTACTGGGGGAGGGGGTCGGGGGGACCCTGGGGGTCTGGGGGTCGGAAGGCCAGGAGGGCGAGAAGCCGGCGTCCGCGCGGTGGCCCCAGCCCTGGCCTTGTCCCTCTTGTCCATGCCGCACCTGCCGGGGAGGCAGAGATCAGCATCAGACCGCTGCTCTGACCGCAGGAGCCCGAGCCCTGGCACCCCACTGGCACTTCCCCAGCGTCGCCACCCATGGGCATCCAAGCCCCAGCCCGGATCCACTTCCCTCCCCCCTCAGCCACCCACCTGCTCACCAGCTCAGCTGCTCAGGGCTGTTGTCCCCAGGTCCCACCCCCGCGGTCCTCCCCCAAAGTGGAGAGGCCCTGCCCGCCGCAGCCCACCGCCTCTGCTCCCTTTCAGGGCCCGAGATCCACGCCCCTACCCCTCGGCCCCTCCGAGACCCAGGCCACCAGACTCGAGAAAGGGGTATGATGCCACAGGCTCCAGATGGAGGACCGGACGCTCACGGCCGGGTCCCGTTGCCAGCCTCCAGCGCGCTCCCCGGGCCTCCCCGCGGGATGCAGGCACCTGCCTGGAGGAGTAGAGGCCCCGCTGCCCGCGAACAGGCTCGGGGAGACAAAGAGCCGCGTCCCGGGCGCGTCCCCGCCCCCCGCCGAACCCGGGTCCAGGCCGCCGCCTCCACCTGCTCGCGCCGCGCTCACCTCGGGCTCCAGCCGCCCGCCGCTCTGCTCCGGTCTTCTGGGGTGGGGCTGGGAGGCCGCGGGCGCCGGGCGGGCGAGGGGAGGGGGCGGCGGGCTGCAAGCGGGGAGCCGCGGGCGCGTGTTTGATCCGGACCCGGGAGCGCGCAGAAGCGGGCAGGCGCGTGCTGGAGGGAGGGCGGCGCGGCTTCTCCGCGGCTGCGCCCAAGGACCCGGCCACCGCGGGAGGGACCTGGAGGGAGTCCCGCGGGGTCCCAGCCCGGCCTCGCCGCGACCAAACACACGCACCTGCCGTGGCCCCCTGCCCGACCACCTGGCGACCAAGGCCCGCCTGCACGCCGATAGGCTGGGCCCTGGCAACTTTGGGGGCGGGACCAACGCCAATCGGCCAATCCGGCCGCTCGATGGCCTTGGTCCCTGTCGTTGCCTTCGCGACCGCCCCGCAGGATCCCCTGGGGCCTATTCGCCTCTCACTTCCGAAGACTTTTGCCAGACTCCGGAAAACCCCCTACTCCTTGGGGATTGAGGGGTGCACCTCGGATTTGGGGGCAATAGAGAAAGCAAGGATGTCAAGGAGGGGTGAAGTCAAGTCAGCAAAGGCTTCCTGGCAGAGCCCCGCTTTCGCGGGGACAAGGTTAAGGGAGGCGGGCTAGGAGGTGTCAAAACGGGGACATGAAGGGACAGAGACAACCCCGTTGAAGGCTGGCCAGCCCAGGCCAGCCAGCGGGAGTGGGAGGTGCCATTTTGGCAGTGGTCTCTGTGGAGAGCCTTGCTGGGCTGGGGACCGTGGCATGGAGGGGGCAGAAGTGTGAGGAGGGGGTGTTCTTTGGACCCTATCCTTTCCATGGACCCTCCCCCACCCTGGGAGAACAAGTGGTGGTGAGAATGTAGGGGGAATTTGAACGCTTGTGCACTTTTAGAAATGTAAAGTGGTGCAGCCGCTGTGAAAAGCAGTATGTCAGGTCCTCAAAAAATTAAACAGAAAGGACAGTATGATCCAGCAATCTCACCTGAAAACGAGAACTTGAAATACCTGCACACCCGTGTTCACAGCAGCACTATTCACAACAGCTAAGAGGTGGAAGCAACTTGAGTGTCCGTCCATTGGCGGAGGAAAGTGGTGCATCTTATCCAGCTTTAAAACCAAAGGACGTTCCACTATGCTAATGGACAGTGACTGCAACGGGGTGGGGGTGGGGGCTTGATAATATGGGTGAATGTAGTAACCAAATATTGTTCATGTGACTCCTTCATAAGATTGTACATCAACGATACTTTAATAAAAAATAAAAGGGAAGGACATTCTGTGGTGACACCTGCTACAACGTGGGTGGACCTTGAGGACACGGTGCTCAGTGAAATAAGCCAGATGTAAGAGGATGAATCCTCTCTGATCCCACTCCTAGGAGGTCCCCAGAGGAGCCCCATCCACAGAGACAGAAAGTGGGTGGTGGGGCTGGGGGTTCAGAAAGGGGACACGGAGTGACTGTTTCATGGGGACAGAGGTTCAGTCTGGGAAGATGGAAAGGTCTGGAGTGGATGGTGGGGACGGCTGCAGAATGCCATGAATGTGCGTAATGCCACTGAACTGTACATGTAAGAATGGTTTTAAGATGGTAAATTCTATGTGATGCAGATTTTGTACAATTTTTTTAAAGGCTGGATGTTATCAATGTGGGAAAACTAAGGCACTACCAAGCAGGCAGCCTTTCTGGAGAACAGCTGGAAAGCGGTGTGAGCAGGGTGTCCTGGGACCCAGCCATGCCACTAAGCATCTACATTGTGGCAGATGCCCCCTCCCTCCTTATACCCTGAGCACCCACAGTCCCCACGTGCAGGGGAAGTCAGAAGTCAACACCCCTCCCCCACCTCAGAGCCACCTCAGCGGGGACAGACAGGAGCTGAGGCATCAATATGTCAGCTCTGTCACCCCTTGGGTGGGGACAATCGGAGGCATGTTCCCCATCATCTCCCAGAGCTCCCCAGCTGAGTGGAGCCTCTTTGCCCACAGGCTTGTTCACTCATTAACGCACTGTCATTAATGCTTACTGACTTCTGCCCCTTCTCAGCCTCACCTCCCCACTGCCCCACCACTAGTGCTGCCTGGAATTGCCTTCCAGGTAAAGTTATCTGCATGCAGTTCCTTGTCTCAGGGTCTGCATCTAAGACAAAACCTCACTCATCCATCCATCCATCATGTACTGGATGCCCACTGGGTGCCAGACACCACTCCAAGTGCCGGGGCCACTGCGGGAGCAGAGGAGATGTGGTGTCTGAAGTGCGTGGGGCTTCCGTCCAGTGACCCGGAGATCCTTGCACAAGCGCCCAAAGCAATGTGTTATCAAGATGTTCTGGCAGAAAACTGGAATCTGCCCCTCCAGGCGCAGGTCCCCAGCTTCTCCAGAGGCACAAAGAAGCCCAAGGAGACTATGTCCAACCCTGTCATATCACAAACTAACCTTATCCTCATGTACCATTTGTGTCTCCTGCCCTGCTGGGACAGAGGCTCAGAGAGAGGAGGGGCCTTGCCTATCTTGTGCACACAATGAAGGTTTGGCTTTTGGTGGCCTGTGGTCGCGCCCACATGGAACTCACTGAGGCCCAGTGCCCAAACGTGGCGCCCATTGCGGCATTTCACAGAGGAACCTAAGCCTATGGGGTCCCAATGCCCTGGGTCAGGTCTCCGGCTGTTGCTCATTTGCTGAACTCATTGGGAAGGGGTCCCTCTCTCCCACCTTGACCAGGTCCCCAGTCCCTGGAGTTCTGCAGACAGAGCAGGTCAAGGTTCAACCACAGAAGCCTGAGGGCCAAGTTGGACGATTTGCACATCTAATCCAGCCCAGGCCTCCTCCACCCAACCCTGTGGGGAGGAAAGAGTGGGGGTGGGAAGGCAAAATCCTCCTTTCCAGAAACCCCCCTCCTAGCCTGACTCCCAGAGCCTTCTGACCTCTGTGCCCCCCACCGGGACCTGGGAGAAGCTTCCTACCCCTTGCTATCCAAGCAGAGGGCAGGCATCCAGGCTGGGCAGGGGCAGGCAGGCGAGCACCTTCTGGTGGCTTCCTGAGGGTGGTTGGTCAGGGCAGGAAGGGGAAAGCCCCCTCCCCTCCTCTCCTGGTCGCAGGTTCCTTGGTGGCTGCCCCCGGGGTGGGCAGAGGAGGCCCTCCCTTGGGTTCTCTTCAGCCTGGCTCCCTGCAGGGCGACCCCAGGTTGGCTTTGGGAGCACAGTGCCTCCACCCCCTTGTGTCCCCAGGCGCTGCAGCCGCCCCGAATCCTAAAGTCCTTGATCCTCAGTCCCAGCCCCCCACCCCCACCCTGGCTCCTCTCGGGACTGCTGGGCTAGGGCTGCCCTCCTCCCGCAGTCCGGTGGGCCGGGGAGTAGGGGTCAACCGCGAGCTCTGCCTGGGGAGGAAGAGGAGGTGGGGCCCGGGCTGGGGCTCCCCTAAGGCGGTGGGGCGGCTCCTGGGCTCCTGCCCCGCCCCCGGCCCTGACTCACCCAGGCTGGCCCGGGAATCCTGCAGGAGTCCCAGCCACTCTGCTCCCAGACACCAAGCAGTTGGGCCCATCATCCAGCCCTGAGCTGTGGGGTAGGTGGCTCTCCCTGCTGGGGATGGAGTGGTGGGGGTGGGGGTGGGGGTCTGGAGGTCCATCCCAGGCACCGGGGGCACTGTGGCCCAAGCCCACCCTGCTCCAGGCACTCAAGGAGCTGGGGAAGGGGCTGGGGGGAGACAGCCTCAGCCGTGGCTAGCCCAAGGGCATTGCTCTGGGGGGCAAAGGGTGGAATGAAGATCAGCAGGCTGGGGGAGACCCCGGGGGGCTTGACCCCTTTCCTCCTTCTTGCCTGCAGAGTCAATAGCAGTAGCACTGTCTCTGGGACCCCCCCAACACCCCAGAACCTTACCGCGTGCGGTCCTAGGTCCCCAGGTTGTCCCACTCTGGGACTCTTGAACCTCAAGACTCCCCAGACCCCCAAGTCCTAGCAGGGAAGCTTGGAAAAGTAGGAGGTTGGGAGTCCCCAGGCCTGGACCCGACCCTAGGTCTGCCACCAAGGGGCCACTCTCCCCAGCCACGTACCCCAATTTCTCTCTTGTGTAAACATCAAAGGTTGGACCTTGTGTTCTCCAAGGCCTGTCACTGTGTCTTCTTTGGCCCCCAACACAGGCTGTGGATGGGGAGAGGGGGCCAGATCAGAAGAACCCTCCACCACCATGGTTTGGGGAGCAAGGTGGGGGCCTGGGGAGGGCCTAGGACAGGAGAAGCAGGGGTGAGGCATGGATGGGCCGAGCTAAAGCTGGGTAGGGGGCATGAACGTCGTCCTGTGCTGACACAGACCCCCAACCTGGCCTGCAGAAGAGCCACCCCCATTGCCCCTTGGCCAGAACCCCCTCTGAGGTTCTTTCAGGAAAGATGCTGCATCTCAGTGAGAGGTTCTTGCTCAGGGTGAAACAGAGCAGGTGCGATCAGACAGATGGGACTTGGGGGGGTCGTGCCTGAAACGCCACTCGTGCCTTGAAGCCTTGAGCAAGCTCTGTCACAACGCTCGAGTCTGGGAAAGGGGGGCTCTGGCTCCCACGCCCACAGAGGTGGGATAAAACGAGGCCCTGAGAGCACTGGTGGCTCTAAGTTGCCTGTGGCCCTGCTGTTTCCTCGGGGCACCCCGCCCCTCGAGTTGCCCCACCAGCCCTGCTCAGACAAAGGGGGCCCAGCCTTGTGTCTGCGGAAGCTTAATGGCAGGTTCAGGCCATCAGGTTTGAGTCATGGAGACGGATAATGATAACTGCAGCATGTGTCCTGGGCGGTGTTGTGTGTGCACCTCGTTCCATGGGGGCCCCTGGGCCTTCCATGGGGACCTTGCCCACACCCTGGCTCCTGGGCTCTGGTCCTGGGTGTATGCTTCTGGTCCTTGACTGTGGTCCCTCACCAGTGGGTGGTGGAGCTTCCACTGCTGTGAGCTGGGCTCGGTCATGAGGTTGGTCCCTGCCTGCATGTGTGGCATTCCTGCCACAGTCCCCAGGGTCACTGTTCTTAGGCTGGGCAGCTGAGCAGTGTTCCCTAGAAGGGACAGGTTTTCTGGGCAGGGAGAACCTAGGGGCTGGACCTGGCAGAGGGTGTCTGACCGGCTCCCTGGCCCTGGATCTGCCCTCAGTTCAGTGGATGCCCGCACTGTGCACACCCCAGAATGCCCCCAGGTGTCCCTTTTGGTGGCTGCAATATTCATGCAGCCCCTGGGGGCTGCTGAGCTGCCCCTGGTGACAGAGACTGGCTAATGCACTGGGGCGTTTCTCCTCTGCTTTTTGCTTAGGACAGGGTGTGACTGAGCGTGAGGGACTGACATGTGCCGGGGATACTGTACTTGTGAATCCCCTAGCGTGCGCCTGCTCCTGGGTGAGTCAGAGAGCCCAGGAGCCAGGGTGTGGGCAGGCATGTGCCCGTGTTGCATGCCATCACTGGCAGCCTCTGGGGGGATTAAGGGCTGCAGTGGACTGCCCCACCCTCAGCAGGATGGGCAGGGCCTGCAGCCTGTATCCCTGCCCCACCCTGTCCCCGTCCCTGCCTAGGAGTCACCCTAAGGCCTTCAGGGCCAGTTGGGACCAAAAAGAGACGCATGGAGGTGTCAGAGAGACTGATGGGTGTGGGCGGGCCTGCGGTCCAGAGACCACCCCTTGCTGTCCAGCCTGTGCCCAGTGACAGGCTATCAGGAGGACGGCAGGCTCTCAGAACCCACGGGAAATTGGGCTGTGTAGGCTGTGGAACATGGGTGCCAGGAGGGTAGGCCTTGCTGTCTCCCTTCCCTTCCCTTCCAGCCTCAGGAAGAGAGGAGGATTTCTTGGGAGGCCACCCTGCAGCCTGGCTGTGGGGGTGACGTTCCAGCTTGTGGCCCATGCCCACCCCGCTATGACTTGCCCCTGGCTGTCCAAATCTAGAATAATGATACCTTGGTCTGAAAGGAAGCCCAGGGACAAACAGAGTGGGCAGGCCGCCCAGGGGCCTGGCAACCCAGCCCTGGCCGTGTGGTAGGTGCCACCCTGGCTTTCTCCCTGGGAGCCGCATCCGCATCCTCTGCTCCTCGCCATCCTGGCACCCCGCCCCAATCAGAGCCCAGGTGTCTGTCCTCTGCCTCAGGCCCTGGGCATCAGCCCACCTGGAAACCCTTGTGCCCCGGTCATCCCACCCCCTCCCCGGGGCTGAGCAGCCTTCCACTGCACCACTCCCTGCTGCCTCTGGGCCCGTAACCAGAGCCAGGCTCCAGCCGGCTTTTCCGGTTGGAGGTTGGAGGAGGTGCCCAGAGCGCCCCTGAAGGGGGTGGGGGCCCACACCCCGGAAGTCCTGGGCCCGGGGGCACTCTCTGCTCCAGGGGCGGAGGGAGCCTGGCTGTAGGGACACCGGGTTTCCGGAGACGGAGCAGCAGAGCGAGTGTTCCTCGGGCTGCTCCGTGACAAGGGGTGGGAGGAGATGCCTGGGGAAGGCCACACGCACAAGCCGGGGGACGGCCGCCCGTCCTGAGCTCTGAGCGGGCAGGCGGCATCAGAACAGGACCAGGGGCCGGGCAGCACAAGTGGTGAGAACAGGAGCCTCTTGGCTCCAGAGGGAGGTGAATTCTGGGGGAGGGGGAAGGGCGTCTGCCAGACCTGGGGCCGGGGGCATAGGCCTGTGTCCGGCTCCAGTGCAGGCCGTGGCCAGGTGCCCCCTGCTGAGGGTCCCTGGGCGCCTGCCTCCTCTCCCACAGGCAAGATGATTCCGGTGGCAGAGTTCAAGCAGTTCACGGAGCCGCAGCCGGCCTTCAAGTTGCTCAAACCCTGGTGGGATGTGCTGGCCGAGTACCTCACCGTGGCTATGCTCATGATTGGGGTCTTCGGCTGCACGCTCCAGGTGAGGGCAGGGCCTCCGGGGGTGGGGCCTGGGAAGTCCGGAAGTCCATTGCTGGTGACTGGGATCCGAAATCAGAGTGGATAAGGTCTCTTTTTTCCAAGGGCTTGGGGATGGCACCTGTTCCACGCCTCTCCTAGATCCTCGTGGCTTCTGGCAGGCTGTGGCTTATAGATGACCTCGCTGTGTTTCCGCATCATCTTCCCTCTGTGCGCAGGTCTCTGTCCCCTTTTTTCTTGTCATAAGGACACTGTCGTGGAGGGGACCCTTCCTAATGCCCTCATCTTAACTCAATTGTGTCTGCTTTGCAGACTATTTCTAAACAAGGCCACATTCACAGGTATTGGGGTCAGGACTTATGTATCTTTCTGGGGGACACAGACACAATTCAACCCAACTCCTTTTTTTTTAAGACAAAGACTGGTGCTCTCAGGTTTAGTGACTCTTTTGAAGCCACAGCCTGCTGGGGGCAGTCAGGGTTCAGGGATCCTCCCACCTCCAGCCTGCTTCTCTCCCCTCAACTCCTCGGGCCCTGCTGGCCCCCCTCAGCCTCTTTTGCCCTTTCCCCCATCCCCAGGTGACGCAAGACAAGATCATCTGTCTGCCCAGTCGTGAACCCTGGGAGAACTTATCAGAGGCTCCGTGCCAGCAGCTGCTGCCTCACGGGGTCTCCGAGCAGCTTGGGGGCCCCCGGGAGGTAAGCGGCCTCAAGAACAACCTGGACCTGCAGCAGTATAGCTTCATCAACCAGCTCTGCTACGAGACGGCGCTCCACTGGTACGCCAAGTACTTCCCCTACCTGGTCGTCATTCACACGCTCATCTTCATGGTCTGCACCAGCTTCTGGTTCAAGTTCCCAGGCACCAGCTCCAAGATCGAGCACTTCGTCTCCATCCTGGGCAAGTGTTTCGACTCGCCGTGGACCACGCGGGCCCTGTCCGAGGTCTCTGGGGAGAATCATGAGGCATCCTCGGCAGGGCTGGGGAAGGCAGGTGAGGGCGAGAAGGAGAAGGTGCTGGCAGAACCTGAGAAGGTGGTCACTGAGCCTCCGGCCGTCACCCTGTTGGACAAGAAGGAGGGCGAACAGGCCAAAGCCCTGTTCGAGAAGGTCAAGAAGTTCCGCCTGCACGTGGAGGAGGGGGATATCTTGTACACCATGTACATCCGGCAGACGGTGCTCAAAGTCTGCAAGTTCTTTGCCATCCTGGTCTACAGCCTCATCTACGTGGAGAAGATCAGCTTCCTGGTGTCCTGCCAGGTGGACACCTCCGAGGTCACGGGCTACGTCCGCTTCTGCTGTAACCACACCAAGGCCCACCTCTTCTCCAAGCTGGCTTTCTGCTACATCTCCTTCGTGTGCGTCTACGGCATTACCTGCCTGTACACGCTCTACTGGCTCTTCCATCGGCCCCTCAAGGAATACTCCTTCCGTTCTGTGCGGGAGGAGACCGGCATGGGTGACATCCCAGACATCAGGAATGACTTCGCCTTCATGCTGCATCTCATCGACCAGTACGACTCACTGTACTCCAAGCGCTTCGCCGTCTTCCTCTCCGAGGTCAGCGAGAGCCGCCTGAAGCAGCTCAGCCTTAATCATGAGTGGACGCCCGAGAAGCTGCGGCAGAAGCTGCAGCGCAATGCTCAGGGCCGGCTTGAGCTGGCCCTCTGCATGCTCCCAGGGCTGCCGGACACTGTCTTCGAGCTCAGTGAGCTGGAGGCGCTCCGCCTGGAGGCCATCAGCGATCTCACCTTCCCCCCGGGCCTCTCACAGCTGGTAAACCTGCAGGAGGTCAGTCTGCTCCACTCACCCACCAGGCTGCCCTTCTCCTCCCAGGCCTTCCTGCGGGACCGCCTGAAGGTCGTGCGCGTCAAGTGCGAGGAGCTGCGCCAAGTGCCCCTCTGGGTGTTCGGGCTGCGTGGCCTGGAGGAGCTGCACCTCGAGGGGCTCTTCCCCCCGGAGCTGGCCCGGGCAGCCACCCTCGAGAGCCTCCGGGAGCTGAAGCAGCTCAAGGTGCTGTCCCTGCGGAGCAACGCCAGCAAAGTGCCAGCCAGCGTGACTGATGTAGCGGGGCACCTGCAGCGGCTCAGCCTCTACAACGACGGGACCCGTGTGCTCACCCTGAACAGCCTCAAAAAGCTGGTGGCGCTGCGGCAGCTGGAGCTGGTGGCCTGCGGGCTGGAGCGCATCCCTCACGCTGTGTTCAGCCTGGGTGCACTGCAGGAACTTGACCTCAAGGACAACCACCTGCGGTCCATCGAGGAGATCCTCAGTTTCCAGCACTGTCGGAAGCTGGTCACGCTCAGGCTGTGGCACAACCAGATCGCCTACGTCCCGGAGCATGTGCGGAAGCTCCGGGGCCTTGAGCAGCTGTACCTCAGCCACAACAAGCTGGAGACCCTACCCGCCCAGCTGGGCATGTGCTCCAGCCTCCGACTGCTGGACGTCTCCCGCAACGGGCTGCACTCCCTGCCGCCCGAGCTGGGCCTCCTGCAGAATCTGCAGCACCTGGCGCTCTCCTACAATGCCCTGGAGGCCCTGCCCTACGAGCTCTTCTTCTGCCGCAAGCTGCGGACGTTGCTTCTCGGCTACAACCATCTGAGCCAGCTCTCGCCCCAGGTCGGGGCCCTCACGGCCCTCAGCCGCCTAGAGCTCAAAGGCAACCGCTGGGAGGCGCTGCCCGAAGAACTGGGCAACTGTGGGGGTCTCAAGAAGTCAGGGCTCTTAGTGGAGGACACTCTTTACGAGGGCCTGCCGGCAGAGGTGCGGGAGAAAATGGAAGAGTGAAGCCAGGGTCGGGGGCAGGCTGAGGTACTCCTGGTGGTTCACCCCAGAATCTCTACTACTGTCTTCTCGGGAGGTGGTCCGGTGGGCCCAGGCCAGGAGAGGAAGAGCAGATGTGAGCCTTGCGGGGCCTGAGCCAGATCCTGTGACTGGTTTGTCTGGGGAGGGATGGGAATCTGTGGATTTGGGGTGGAATGTCACAGAGAGATTAACTCAGGATTCACAGACCAAAACCATGCCTGTGTCTTTGGCTGGCTGGTCTGCTCCCAGCCCTGGGCCAGAACTGCTGCCCTTTCCCCCTGGATGTTCAGTTAGTGCCACATATGGGGGAGGGTCACATCCCAATGGGATTTCAACCCTTTCCCCCTGACCAACCCCAGATCTGGGGTTCTCTCCCAAGGAGGGCACACAGACACAGGGGACCAGTGTGGACCCCCCTCTCCACAACTCTGATGCTAATCATTATTTATAAGTTGTTGGCCAATGATACCTGCACATACACAAACTCAGAAAAATGGTTCTCATATTTGGTGGTGCATCAAAATCAACATCCCCAAAACAGAACATCTGGGGCCCCACCCCTGAAAGACTGACTCAGGAAGTTCCTGGCCTGGAAATAAGCATCCCACAGGGTTCTGATGCAGGTGGTCCTTAGTGCTGTCTATTGGGCAATGCTAACTGACAGCACAGATGTCCAGATGTCTAGAGCAAGGATTCTGAACCTTTTTAAGTCCTAGACCCTTTGAGCAGCTGAGAAAAGCTGGACACCTCCTTCCTCAGGAAAATGCTCATGTACGAGCCACGTTCTGCAAACAATTTAAGCAGTCAATGGATACCCCCAAGCCCCTCAACATATCCATTCATGGACGTCCTAAGGTTGGCATACCCCAGGGCTCAGAACATCTGTGGATATTACATTTCTCTGAGGATGGGCACAAGCTTTACCTTTCCAATATTACCTGTGCCAGGCAGCATATACCAGTAGGTGCTTAATAAATAACACTAATTACAAGAACCAAAATTCTTATCTCTGGTGTCCAAGCCTTCTGTTTCACCAACTACAGTTAAGTGGTGACACTCACATGCCAGGATCGAGGGTGGGAGTCTCCTGGGAATAGAGGGACAGAGGGCCCTTAACAAATCAGGAGAAATTAGGCGGCATCTTCTGCCTAGCTTTTTTTCTGAAGGACCTCTTTTCCTTTGCCTTCCCTGTGATTCTCCTGACTACACACTTTTGTATCTGCTCCATTCAGAAGTCACCAAAGAAGACCCCACACACCTTCAACGCCCAGCAGTGTTCCTGAGCTGGACTGGGAGAGGGCAGGGCTCTGGGCTCAGCCAGTCTGACTCTGACCGCTTGAGACTGGACACCTCTTAGGTGTCTGCAAAATGCGCGTGTCCTCCTGGCAACTGAGAGCACAGGCAAGTTGCCCTCTAGGAACTAGAATTTTGGATAGGGACGTTTCCCCAGCACCCATCAGACCAGTTAAAGAAAACGTCTAGGCTGCTGAGACGCCTAACCCCAGGGCGCGTCTTGTGCATAGTCCAGGAGCTGGGCACATTCCAGGGCGGGACAGATGGAGGGCGGGGTCTTTAATAAAGTCCCACGCGGGTCTGACCTGGAGCTCTGGCTTTGTCCTTGGCCCTGTCGCTTAAGTCAGGGTCATGCCGCTGGATTCCTGGGGCTCTGACAGCGGCCCGAGCCCTATGCGGCCTCTGCCGTTTGTCCTTGGGCGACACTGAGCTTGCTGAAATGGAAAGGGAATCCCACGGGTGCCTAATTAGGGTGAGAAGGCAGCAATTAAGCATAACAGGATCCTAATGAAGTGCTATCTGAGACAAGAAAGGCAATTCTGAGAGGGCGTGGGTGCCAGAAAACAGGTCCGGCCACCTAAGAGCCAGGAAGAGACTGAGGTCACAGCAGGAGAACACCGGCAAGAGCCTCTGAGAGCTAAGGCTGCGCGTGCGCACCAGGAGCCACACGCTTGATTTCGTCTCCCACTCTATAAGCATGCGCGCTGCTTTCCCCTTCCTACCTGGTCGTCATTCACACGCTCATCTTCATGGTCTGCACCAGCTTCTGGTTCAAGTTCCCAGGCACCAGCTCCAAGATCGAGCACTTCGTCTCCATCCTGGGCAAGTGTTTCGACTCGCCGTGGACCACGCGGGCCCTGTCCGAGGTCTCTGGGGAGAATCATGAGGCATCCTCGGCAGGGCTGGGGAAGGCAGGTGAGGGCGAGAAGGAGAAGGTGCTGGCAGAACCTGAGAAGGTGGTCACTGAGCCTCCGGCCGTCACCCTGTTGGACAAGAAGGAGGGCGAACAGGCCAAAGCCCTGTTCGAGAAGGTCAAGAAGTTCCGCCTGCACGTGGAGGAGGGGGATATCTTGTACACCATGTACATCCGGCAGACGGTGCTCAAAGTCTGCAAGTTCTTTGCCATCCTGGTCTACAGCCTCATCTACGTGGAGAAGATCAGCTTCCTGGTGTCCTGCCAGGTGGACACCTCCGAGGTCACGGGCTACGTCCGCTTCTGCTGTAACCACACCAAGGCCCACCTCTTCTCCAAGCTGGCTTTCTGCTACATCTCCTTCGTGTGCGTCTACGGCATTACCTGCCTGTACACGCTCTACTGGCTCTTCCATCGGCCCCTCAAGGAATACTCCTTCCGTTCTGTGCGGGAGGAGACCGGCATGGGTGACATCCCAGACATCAGGAATGACTTCGCCTTCATGCTGCATCTCATCGACCAGTACGACTCACTGTACTCCAAGCGCTTCGCCGTCTTCCTCTCCGAGGTCAGCGAGAGCCGCCTGAAGCAGCTCAGCCTTAATCATGAGTGGACGCCCGAGAAGCTGCGGCAGAAGCTGCAGCGCAATGCTCAGGGCCGGCTTGAGCTGGCCCTCTGCATGCTCCCAGGGCTGCCGGACACTGTCTTCGAGCTCAGTGAGCTGGAGGCGCTCCGCCTGGAGGCCATCAGCGATCTCACCTTCCCCCCGGGCCTCTCACAGCTGGTAAACCTGCAGGAGGTCAGTCTGCTCCACTCACCCACCAGGCTGCCCTTCTCCTCCCAGGCCTTCCTGCGGGACCGCCTGAAGGTCGTGCGCGTCAAGTGCGAGGAGCTGCGCCAAGTGCCCCTCTGGGTGTTCGGGCTGCGTGGCCTGGAGGAGCTGCACCTCGAGGGGCTCTTCCCCCCGGAGCTGGCCCGGGCAGCCACCCTCGAGAGCCTCCGGGAGCTGAAGCAGCTCAAGGTGCTGTCCCTGCGGAGCAACGCCAGCAAAGTGCCAGCCAGCGTGACTGATGTAGCGGGGCACCTGCAGCGGCTCAGCCTCTACAACGACGGGACCCGTGTGCTCACCCTGAACAGCCTCAAAAAGCTGGTGGCGCTGCGGCAGCTGGAGCTGGTGGCCTGCGGGCTGGAGCGCATCCCTCACGCTGTGTTCAGCCTGGGTGCACTGCAGGAACTTGACCTCAAGGACAACCACCTGCGGTCCATCGAGGAGATCCTCAGTTTCCAGCACTGTCGGAAGCTGGTCACGCTCAGGCTGTGGCACAACCAGATCGCCTACGTCCCGGAGCATGTGCGGAAGCTCCGGGGCCTTGAGCAGCTGTACCTCAGCCACAACAAGCTGGAGACCCTGCCCGCCCAGCTGGGCATGTGCTCCAGCCTCCGACTGCTGGACGTCTCCCGCAACGGGCTGCACTCCCTGCCACCCGAGCTGGGCCTCCTGCAGAATCTGCAGCACCTGGCGCTCTCCTACAATGCCCTGGAGGCCCTGCCCTACGAGCTCTTCTTCTGCCGCAAGCTGCGGACGTTGCTTCTCGGCTACAACCATCTGAGCCAGCTCTCGCCCCAGGTCGGGGCCCTCACGGCCCTCAGCCGCCTAGAGCTCAAAGGCAACCGCTGGGAGGCGCTGCCCGAAGAACTGGGCAACTGTGGGGGTCTCAAGAAGTCAGGGCTCTTAGTGGAGGACACTCTTTACGAGGGCCTGCCGGCAGAGGTGCGGGAGAAAATGGAAGAGTGAAGCCAGGGTCGGGGGCAGGCTGAGGTACTCCTGGTGGTTCACCCCAGAATCTCTACTACTGTCTTCTCGGGAGGTGGTCCGGTGGGCCCAGGCCAGGAGAGGAAGAGCAGATGTGAGCCTTGCGGGGCCTGAGCCAGATCCTGTGACTGGTTTGTCTGGGGAGGGATGGGAATCTGTGGATTTGGGGTGGAATGTCACAGAGAGATTAACTCAGGATTCACAGACCAAAACCATGCCTGTGTCTTTGGCTGGCTGGTCTGCTCCCAGCCCTGGGCCAGAACTGCTGCCCTTTCCCCCTGGATGTTCAGTTAGTGCCACATATGGGGGAGGGTCACATCCCAATGGGATTTCAACCCTTTCCCCCTGACCAACCCCAGATCTGGGGTTCTCTCCCAAGGAGGGCACACAGACACAGGGGACCAGTGTGGACCCCCCTCTCCACAACTCTGATGCTAATCATTATTTATAAGTTGTTGGCCAATGATACCTGCACATACACAAACTCAGAAAAATGGTTCTCATATTTGGTGGTGCATCAAAATCAACATCCCCAAAACAGAACATCTGGGGCCCCACCCCTGAAAGACTGACTCAGGAAGTTCCTGGCCTGGAAATAAGCATCCCACAGGGTTCTGATGCAGGTGGTCCTTAGTGCTGTCTATTGGGCAATGCTAACTGACAGCACAGATGTCCAGATGTCTAGAGCAAGGATTCTGAACCTTTTTAAGTCCTAGACCCTTTGAGCAGCTGAGAAAAGCTGGACACCTCCTTCCTCAGGAAAATGCTCATGTACGAGCCACGTTCTGCAAACAATTTAAGCAGTCAATGGATACCCCCAAGCCCCTCAACATATCCATTCATGGACGTCCTAAGGTTGGCATACCCCAGGGCTCAGAACATCTGTGGATATTACATTTCTCTGAGGATGGGCACAAGCTTTACCTTTCCAATATTACCTGTGCCAGGCAGCATATACCAGTAGGTGCTTAATAAATAACACTAATTACAAGAACCAAAATTCTTATCTCTGGTGTCCAAGCCTTCTGTTTCACCAACTACAGTTAAGTGGTGACACTCACATGCCAGGATCGAGGGTGGGAGTCTCCTGGGAATAGAGGGACAGAGGGCCCTTAACAAATCAGGAGAAATTAGGCGGCATCTTCTGCCTAGCTTTTTTTCTGAAGGACCTCTTTTCCTTTGCCTTCCCTGTGATTCTCCTGACTACACACTTTTGTATCTGCTCCATTCAGAAGTCACCAAAGAAGACCCCACACACCTTCAACGCCCAGCAGTGTTCCTGAGCTGGACTGGGAGAGGGCAGGGCTCTGGGCTCAGCCAGTCTGACTCTGACCGCTTGAGACTGGACACCTCTTAGGTGTCTGCAAAATGCGCGTGTCCTCCTGGCAACTGAGAGCACAGGCAAGTTGCCCTCTAGGAACTAGAATTTTGGATAGGGACGTTTCCCCAGCACCCATCAGACCAGTTAAAGAAAACGTCTAGGCTGCTGAGACGCCTAACCCCAGGGCGCGTCTTGTGCATAGTCCAGGAGCTGGGCACATTCCAGGGCGGGACAGATGGAGGGCGGGGTCTTTAATAAAGTCCCACGCGGGTCTGACCTGGAGCTCTGGCTTTGTCCTTGGCCCTGTCGCTTAAGTCAGGGTCATGCCGCTGGATTCCTGGGGCTCTGACAGCGGCCCGAGCCCTATGCGGCCTCTGCCGTTTGTCCTTGGGCGACACTGAGCTTGCTGAAATGGAAAGGGAATCCCACGGGTGCCTAATTAGGGTGAGAAGGCAGCAATTAAGCATAACAGGATCCTAATGAAGTGCTATCTGAGACAAGAAAGGCAATTCTGAGAGGGCGTGGGTGCCAGAAAACAGGTCCGGCCACCTAAGAGCCAGGAAGAGACTGAGGTCACAGCAGGAGAACACCGGCAAGAGCCTCTGAGAGCTAAGGCTGCGCGTGCGCACCAGGAGCCACACGCTTGATTTCGTCTCCCACTCTATAAGCATGCGCGCTGCTTTCCCCTCCGAGTAGGTGGGCCTCCACACTACGTCGCTCGCCCAGGAGCTCCGGAAATCGCGCATGCGCATCAGGTTCGAGAGACTGCACGTTGCCAGCCGTGAGCTCTAGGTGGAGTCATCCCTCCAGGCTCGAGACCAGTACGCAAGCGCAGAGGTTCGCACGAGGGAAGGGCGGGCGCGCGCCGCGGGCATGCGCCAAGCGGGGTGAGACGGCGGCTCGGCGGGGTCATCCAAACGCAGGCGCAGTGCGGTGTTTGTCTGCCGGACTGACGGACGGCCGGGCGGTGCGCGGCGGCGGCGGCGGCGGCGGCGGCGGCGGCGGGGAAGATGGCGGCGTCCTCCCTGGAGCAGAAGCTGTCCCGCCTGGAAGCAAAGCTGAAGCAGGAGAACCGCGAGGCCCGGCGGAGGATCGATCTCAACCTAGATATCAGCCCCCAGCGGCCCAGGCCCAGTAAGCACGGCGGCTTGGGGGAGGGGGCGGGCGGGGCGGGGCGCGCGCCGTGGGAGGCCCCGCCCACGCAAACAGGCCCCGCCCCCGCTTCCGGGGCGCTCTTACTCCTCCTCCTCCCCGCCCCCTGCTGTCAGCTCGCGGGGAGAGGGTCACCGTGACCCGGGGGCGTGGGGACGGCGGGCTCCCGGGGGGCGCTCTCCCGGCCCGGGGGTTCACCCTTGCGGGGTCTGGGAGCCTAGTTGCCCGGCCCCAGGCGAGGCTCCCCCCCACCTGGTGACCCGCCCCCGTCACCGTGATCCCCGGAGCCGCGGTCACCCACGTTGAGTCGCGTACCCCCTACACCACGAGGCCGCGAGCCCATCCAGGTCCCCCGCAAACATGTACACATCCCTTCCCACCAGAGGAGTCCACTCCTGCCGGCCCCCTCCCCCCTGTTTGCACGTGGGTCCGTGTCATGTGGGTTCAGCGGGTGATCCACTCACACCCATGCACACCTGGCCCGAGATCACTTGAGCGCATGTAACCTTTCTCTGACCAGGTGATTCTTCGCCTTCCCCTCTGTGACCGTGTCCGCCTAGCCTGGGACCTTGTCATTGGGTTCCCCGACCCCCTCCCACATCAGCACCAGGCCCCATGTTCTGTGACTGGTTTCATTGCCACCATCTTGCGATGGGTCCCTACAAATAGACTCCCCCAACCACCAGCCTGGCCACTTTGTTGCCAGGGCTCAAGTGATTTCCCCCCACCCGCACCTAGCCGGGGAGCCCTGAGGCCAGTGTGACGTCCAGGCACGCCGGCAGCACACGTACACCTGCCCTGTGATCCCACCGTCTTAGTGCTCACCTCCCTGGCATTTTGTCATCTGGAATCAAGAGCCGTCCCCACCCCCAACACCCACACCTGGCCTGGAATAATTTCTACTCTCCTGGTCACCACCGTGCTCCCCAAGCCTCTCTGCTGGAGGGCATCAGATTTTCCCCTCCTCGCAGACCTGATGAACAGCAGCCCCTTCCCCACGTGCTTTCTGTGTGTGTCTCAACCAGCAGGTTGTTCTGTGTATTTTCTGATATGGTCCTTATAGATACATAGGTCCCTGTGGTGTCCTGACAGGAGGAGGAAGACACCCCCTTATCTGGGTACCCCACCCTCTCTCTGCTCACCCGGCCTGACCACAGCTCACTCATCCCCAATACCTGTGTGGGGTCTACTCCCCTCCCCTTTCTGACCTGGGATGACCTGGGTTCCTCCCTGGAGGTGGTCTGTTAGGGGGCTCAGAGAAAGCCCCGAGGCAGTGATGCTGGGCTGGGTGTGAGGCCTAGGGCGCCTCACGGGGTGACTGTCCCGGCTGCAGAGCCAGGCACGGCGAGGTCCCCAGCGGGCAGGCCCCAAGGAACCCCCTCCAGGCATCTGTGTTTGTCAGCTCATGCCATCCTCCCCGCCCTCCATCTCTGTCATCTGTACCCATCTCTGCGGTTTGGTGCCTCCCCGCCCTCCCCACCTCCTCCTCGTTATGATTTGATTTCTTTTCTTTTGGACAAATCGGTTGTTTCTGTTGTGATTTATCGTGGTGTTGTTTTTTTTCTTCCTTTTCCCCATCCAGTTATTGTGATCACTCTAAGCCCTGCTCCTGCCCCGTCCCAGCGAGCAGGTACCAGCCTTTTTATCATCGCTGCTTGGACATCTGCACCATTGACTTAACCGCTGCCCCGCAGAATGCCATCCCCACCCCCATGCTGTGTGCGCGTGCGTGCGTGCATCTCCTGTCTCACTCTCTCTCCTTCCACACCGTCAGTGTCTGGGCCTCCGGCCCCTGCCTCGGTCAACTCTCCCTTCCCGCTCTGCCCTTCCTGTCAGACTCAGGTTTGGACCCCCTGGAAGAATAAGTGGGCTTCCTTACTGATGGGGAGTCTGCTGCCTTCAGGAGGGTCCCGCGTGTGCATGCAGGCACGTGTGTGTGAGAGAGGGACAGATGGGTGTGCCAGGCAGGTGGGCCAGCCTGCTGATTCATTTCAGCAACTCAGCGAACACACGTTGTCCCCTGCGTGCTGTGCCTGTTCTGGGCACTGAGGAACTGAGTCCTCCTCGTGCGTGCGGCTGACACTCCGGTGGGGGTAGGGGGTGGGGGTGCGGGGAACAGCGAGCACATTCAGGGTTGGGGGCGGCTGGGGGCCGTGAGACAGCTGTGAGAAGAGGGAGTAGAGCAGGGCCGGGGCTCCTGCAGGGGGCGGTCGGGGAATCTCTGGAGCAAAGCTGTGGAAGGTGGGGGAGCACGTGAATGGAGGCAGAGGCCCGAGCATGGGCCGGGCTGCGGGCGGGATGGACGCGGATGTCTTGGCTTGGAGGGGCTCGCAAGTGCAGTTGGCTGCCTAGTGCACGTGTGACTGGCTGTGTGTGTGAGACGGGGGGCTCTGGCCTGTCGCCTGCCTGTCTGCACGTGTATGGGGGTCTGTGTCACGTCGTGTGTGTGTGTGTGTGTGTACGCGCGCATGCACACGCGTCGGGCTGATAGTCTGGTACATCGGGGGCCTCCGTTGGCCCTGTGTTCCCGTGCGCTCTCTCTCTCTGCCTCTTGCTTTCACTCTGCCCTCCTAACCTGCTGTGTGGCCCGGCACCACCTCTGGGATCTCTGTTCTCAGGGCCTCTTTGTGCCTCTCCCTGTTCCTTAGCCAGCCGACACCAACCCCCCTCAAATCCCCACCGCGCTTCAGTTTGAGGGGCCTGCTGGAAGCCTCTGTCCCTCGGAAGCCTTTTCCCCGGGCTCGGGGGCAGCCCTCAGGGCTGGGTGGACCCGGTGAGGGAGGAGCCCCGTTGGGGCACTAAGGGGTGTCCAGAGGGTAGGAGTGTGGTCCTCGTCCCAGAGCTCTTGGCAGTACGACCGCCCTCCCCACCACCAGCCAGGAGATGAGAACCTGGCAGTGTCCCCAGAGAATCCGGGTTCAGGGGGAGCATGGGGGTCCTAAGGCTCCCTGAGATTTGTTGAGCCGCAGAGGGAGGGATTAAGACTGATTCTGGCCACAGCGTGACAAAGCAGGGGGCCGGGCTGCCAGGAGGGCACACAGGCATCGTGGCCTCCCGGCCAGTGGACACTGCTGGGATTGGCCATGTCCCCCTTGTCCCTGGAGCTCTTCCTTTGCTCCTCCCAGGCCCTAGCAGGCCCTGCGTCCTCCCTAGGGCTGCAGACCAGTGTCAAAGACCTGCCAGCCAGCTGCTAGCAGCTCAGGCATATGTGCCCCTGCCCATGGGTCCCGGGCCCACATCACCAGGTGCCTGCAGAACTGGCGGCGGGAAGGTGGGCCAGGCAGGAGCTACTGAGGGAGGGGCGGCCCCTGAGGCCCCTTGGCCGCCCCGGTGAGAAGGCGAGCCTTGGAGCGTGCCTGTAGCCAGTGCCCTTCTGACTGGGGTCAGTGGAGGATCATCTCTCCTCCAGGGGTCACCCCAGCCTCTGGTCCCCCCACACTGTTGCCAGCCCAGCCAGGGAGGCTCCTAGCCCTTTGGGAAGCCTGCTGTCCTGTCCCAGGGCTTTCTCTGGCCTGTCTCTGCAGCACCTCCCCTGGGCAGCTGGGCCCCAAGCCTTGGCTCCCGTCTGTCTGTCTCCTGACCCCCGGCCCCCTAATGCTGCCTGCCCGTTCTGGGGTGCCCGCTGCCTGCCCCGCTGCCTGCCTGCCTGCCTGTAGCATGCCCAAGCTGTCTGCATGCAGGCTGCTGGGAAGAACCAGATGCCACTGGCTGGCCCAGCACCCCCTCCCTCAGTTCCAGCAGCCCCGGGGGGGCTGCGCCACCTGGGTCCCCTCACCTGAAGGACTCTGCGCCTCCTGGGGTCCTGCCCCTATTCCTGTTGTCCCCAGCTCCACAGGCTGTGCAGGGAGGCTCAGAGATGAGCCTGCTGGCCAGAGGGTGGCCCTCGCTGACCTTGGAATAGAATGTGGGGCAAGGCAGGCAGAAGGCTGGGTCCCTTGCCCTCTGGCTTCCTAGGGTGGTCTGCCTGACTCTGGTTGGCAGCCAGGTTCAGTGCTGCCCACAGGGCCAGAGCCCAGGCTGATGCTGGTGGGTATTCCCTTCTCTCTTGGCCCAGAGTGTGGGTCCTGTGGCCCTGGGCCTGCTGCCTGGGTTGGGGTGGGGAGGAAAGGGACATGCCAGGGAGGCTGCTGGGGTGAGGGGCGCCGTTAGCCTCAAGCCTCGGTTCTCTGCCAGCACAGACTTGGGGACAGTGCCTCAGCCTCTGGGGACCACCCCTCCCCACCAGCCCACTCCATCCCCTCCCAGGTCAGTGGGGTGGGAGAGGGCACCCTGAGAAGGGCCCAGGGGTGGAGGGAGGCCCCAGTTCCTGTAGCCCAGCAGGTGGGGGCGGCCTACCTGAGGGCTGTCAGGGAGGGAGAGACCAGAGCCGTGAGTCCCCCGAGTGCCAGCCCTGAAGCTGGGGCCGACTGGGAGCTAACCCCCTCTCTCCCCCTGGTTCTCACCACCCCAGCCCTGCAGCTCCCGCTGGCCAATGATGGGGGCAGCCGCTCGCCATCCTCCGAAAGTTCCCCGCAGCACCCCACGCCCCCTGCCCGGCCCCGGCACATGCTGGGGCTTCCGTCCACCATGTTCACACCGCGCAGCATGGAGAGGTGAGCCATCGCAACAGGCCAGCTGGCCAGTGGGGGTCATCTGCAGGTCGGTGTTGGGGGGGCTAAGTCTGTGGGAATCTCTGAGTTCTGGGACTGGGTGGCCTTAGATTGGTTTGGACCCTGTCTACTGGCACCCATTCCCTGTCCCCCCAGCATCGAGATTGACCAGAAGCTGCAGGAGATCATGAAGCAGACAGGCTACCTGACCATCGGGGGCCAGGTACCACTCCTCATGGCCCCTGGCGGGGGTGGGGTGGGGGGGGTCGGTGGGCAGGCCCCGCAGCGGGACTAGGTTCTCTGAGGGAGGCATGCCGGAGCCCCGTGGGCCCTTCAGCTCTGGCTGCCCTCGCCAGCGCTACCAGGCAGAGATCAATGATCTGGAGAACCTGGGGGAAATGGGCAGCGGCACGTGCGGCCAGGTGTGGAAGATGCGCTTCCGGAAGACAGGCCACGTCATCGCCGTCAAGGTGAGCCCCACCCCTTCCTGATGGCCCCTCCCCTCCCTGGTGGCCCCGCCCCCACGGCCAGAGCCAAGGCTCCCTTCTTCCCTTGCAGCAAATGCGGCGCTCTGGGAACAAGGAGGAGAACAAGCGGATCCTCATGGACCTGGACGTGGTGCTTAAGAGCCACGACTGCCCCTACATCGTGCAGTGCTTCGGGACCTTCATCACCAACGTGAGCCCACCCTGCCGCCAGAGAGGCCTAGGGGCTCCTTTCCCCTCGCCCGCTGGTAGCCTGTGGGGGGAGGGGGCAGCCTCTTCTTGCTGCTTCCTGAGTGTGCCAGGCTGGAATAGAGTGGGAGGGAGGTTTGCAGCCCCCCAAGCCCCCTGCTGCCTCCGCAGACCGACGTCTTCATCGCCATGGAGCTCATGGGCACGTGCGCAGAAAAGCTCAAGAAGCGGGTGGAGGGTCCCATCCCGGAGCGCATCCTGGGCAAGATGACGGTGGCGGTGGGTGTCCGGCTGGGATGTGGCCGGGAGGGTGGCCCCCAGGCCCTGGCCCCCCTCACCGGTGCCCTCCGCTGTCCGCGCTGCAGATCGTGAAGGCGCTCTTCTACCTGAAGGAGAAGCATGGCGTGATTCACCGGGACGTCAAGCCCTCCAACATCCTGCTGGACGAGCGGGGCCAGATCAAACTCTGTGACTTCGGTATCAGCGGCCGCCTGGTGGACTCCAAGGCCAAAACGCGGAGCGCAGGCTGTGCTGCCTACATGGCAGTAAGTGGGGGCCCAGTGAGCGCGTTGGGGGTCTGAGCAGCGCACGGCCAGCCGCAGGGGCACATCCTCCCCTTCTCCCACCGGCAGCCGGAGCGCATCGACCCCCCGGATCCCACCAAACCAGACTACGACATCCGGGCAGATGTGTGGAGCCTGGGCATCTCCTTGGTGAGTTGGGGTCCCGGACTGGAGACAGCACCCTTTCGGGATCTGGACAGGTTCAGCATGGGGAGGGCAGAGCCTGGCCGCCACTGCCCCAGCTGCCTGTCTCTCCCCAGGTGGAACTGGCCACGGGCCAGTTTCCCTACCAGAACTGCAAGACGGACTTCGAGGTCCTCACCAAAGTCCTGCAGGAAGAGCCCCCACTCCTGCCCGGCCACATGGGTTTCTCGGGGGACTTTCAGTCCTTCGTCAAAGACTGGTGAGGAGCCTCTGCCTCGTCCTGGGCCCTGGGCGGGCAAGGCCAGGTTGGCCCAACACTCTTGGCTGCTGGGGAGGTTTGGGAACAGTGGGAGTTCCTGGGGTGGGGGTGGGGCTTGGTACAGGCAGGTCGGGGCTGGCGCCTGAGCCCCAGGAGCCAGGAATGGGGTGTGGGCCCAGGCCCAGGCCCAGGGGACTGCTGGCCCAGGGCTGGTCAGCAGGGTGGCCTTGTGGAGTTTCAGAGCAAGCAGAGGTCCCCCAGGGCTGAGGGCATGTGTCCCGCAACCGTAGCAGTTAAGCCTGCAGCCTGCAGGTCGTCCTTGTCTGAATCTCTCTGGAGGAGCCCCCCACCTCTCCCTCGGGCACCTCACGACCCACTTTGGGCTCGCATCACAGGTGGGACCCCCCTGTGCCGGCCCCAGGGCCTCTGCGGCTCGGCAGCCATCTGCGTAGGACCACCGGGACGCAGCTCCTCCTCCCCAGGGACCTCAAGGATCTCTGGTCTGGGTGGGAGGGCAGCTGAGCCCCCTCCCAGGCTGACTGCTCTTCTCTCCTTCCACAGCCTTACTAAAGATCACAGGAAGAGACCAAAGTATAATAAGCTACTTGTGAGTACCTGGTCCTCCCAGCCCCCTCCCCTCCATGCCTGGGGCCTGGGCTGGACCAGAGGGAAAGCTGCCCCAGCCCTAAGAGCCACCCTTGGGCCCCCAGGAACACAGCTTCATCAAGCGCTACGAGACGCTGGAGGTGGACGTGGCTTCCTGGTTCAAGGATGTCATGGCGAAGACTGAGTCGCCGCGGACTAGTGGAGTCCTGAGCCAACACCATCTGCCCTTCTTCAGGTAGCCGCGTGGCGATGGCCAGCCCTACTGGGGGCCGGGGGCGTGGCCGCAGGCCACCCCTTTCCCACCTGGTCACCTAGCTGCCCGCCAGGGGAGACCTGGGACCCAGATGGCCACCGAGGGCTGAGGACAGGAAGTAGGGGTGCCGACCCACCCCTGACTCCTTGCCTGGTGGCCGTGGACAGATGTGCCCACCAGGCCCCAGCCCTTCCTGTCCTGGGGTCAGCTGGCCGTGCGAGTCCCCAACAGACACTGTGAACGGAAGACAGCAGGCCGCGACAGACTCGCTATTTATTCAGTCATAACCTCTGGGCTGGGGCGGCCCCCAGGGTTGGGGAGAGCCCCCACCCCACACCCTCCTCACTGGCAGTGTGCTGCCACCCACCCCCTGCTGTGCACATGCTCCACCTCATCTCCTCCTGTCACCCCCTCTCTACCTCTCTGGCTTTCCCCGGCTCCCTCCCCACCTCGCCTCTACCCTGGCCCATGCCAGGCTCCACGGGGGACTCCTGGGTCCCCTTGGATCTCTGGTGACAGTCACCATCGGCTGGCATCCTTGCCCCAGGAAGGTGGGCTGGGCCTTGTAACTGCAGCCAGACCTGGGCTGGTTGGTGTCCCTCTTTCTCTTTGATCTCAGGGGGTCCTTTTTGGAGTTTATTGTATTTTATTGTACTGGGTGGGGTGTTTGGGGTGGGTTGGGGGAGAAGAGCTGTTTTCATGGGGTTTGTCAGTACCTTCAGAAACTCTTACCAAAGTCATGTTTAGCTGCTTGTGGGGGTCCCCTGCCCACCTGCCTGGGGCACATGGGGCTGGGGCCTGGGCCACTGTGCCTTGAAGGCCCAGCCGGGTAGAGGGGTGTCCCAGAGGTGGGCTGTGGGGGCTCCTTTTCCCTTAGGGCTGGAGACTGGCCACAGCTGGGGTGGGGGGTGAGTTGAGGACCTCAGGGTACAGAGGGAGCCAGGGGCCGTGGCCACCCAGGGTGGCCTTCAGGAAAGGCGGGTGTGGGTGTGGTGGAGGGCAGCAGACGCAGGTGCGGCAGGGAGGTGGTGGGGGAGTTGAAGGCGGGAGTGGGCCGAGAGGCCTGGGCAGGCGGGGAGCAAGGGTATGAGGAGGGGTGTAGGGGTCCGAGGACGTGTGATGGGAACAGAGGTGGGCGGGCTGAGGGCTAGGGGTGTGCCGGGAGGCTCGCCCTCACGATAGTCCTGAGTGCCTCCTGACTCGCCCAGAGCTGGCCAGTCCACAGGCCCCGGGGCCGCCAGCAGCTGCAGCGGGAGGGGGGTTTCCTTTTGGTTGGTGATGCATGCAAATCACGTGGTCAACAAAATAACAAAAACAAAAACAAAAACAAAAAAGCCCCACAAAACCAACACCAAAGGTGAGGAAGCTCGCTGAATGTAGCTGAAGCAGTCTAGACTTAGGCGCCACTGTATGCTATCTATCCTATGGACCTGTTACTCTTGAACTCACAAGAAGCCGCATGTTTAAAGAGTACCCCCAGCCAGCCTCTCTGTCCCTCCCCAGCCTCGGGAAGGGACAGCCACCTTCTCTTGCCCCAAGTCTCCTTTGTGAGGGGATGGGGATGGGGGCACAGTGGGGGGCCAACAGGTCTGGCCTCCCGGCCCTCCCTTGCCAGGCCCAGCCATGGGGGCCTGAGCGGGCGGCCTGAAGGTCCCATGGCTGGTCCCAGGGCTAGTGCAGGCCCGAGGCCAGCTGCCTGGGTCTATTTTTTTATTTAACTAGTTTCTGTTTGGTGTGTGTGTGTGTCTGCCCGCCCCACCCCCCTTCAGTGTTAAATGGGAGGCCTGGGGGAGCCTTCCCCCCCATGTCCTTCCCCTCCGTCACCAGCCACCAGCCATCCCTGTCTCCACCAGGCAGTGGGCGGAGTGGGCAGGCAGGTAGGGGAGCTGGGCCTGGCCCCGCCCGCTGGCCCTCAGCCCCTTCTCAGGCCACCAGTATCGCCTGGTCCCTTTTAAAAACAAAACACCCACGTTTATAAATCCTTAGATGCTTGAGAATAAAACCCCTCCCTTTTCTTCCTCTGAGTCTGTGGTGTGTCGTGACCCTGGAAGCCTGGGCGGGAGGGCCCAGAAGCCGCGACCCTGGGGTGGTGGGCAGGGGCAGCAGTGCCAGCTGAGGCAGCCCCTGGGTGGAGAAGAGAGGTGGGCCTGGTAGGGTGCTGTTTCAAGTGACCTGCTTGTTAAGTATCTAATGTGAGGACCTCCCCACCCACCCCACCAGCCACAGGTAGGGCAGGAAAGGAGCCCTTAATCCCCAGCAGGCCTTGGACACCTGCTGTCGTCGACCCCTTAGTGCATCGCCCCTGCTCCCTGCTTCCTGGGGTGGCTGCCCAGCCAAGGGCGGGACGCATGCCTACTTGGTGGGCCTGGGTGCTGCCCGGCTAGAGCCTCTGCCGCTGGCTCCCCGCGGGTACAGCATGCTGGGTACCACGCTTCTGCTTCTGGCCCTGCTCCTGGGGACCACCACCTTGCCCAGCAGGCCACCTGGTATGTATGATCTGGGGGACACGATCACACAGCCCTTCTTGTCACCGTTCTCGGACGACCTCTCATCCACTCCGCCTGGGAGAGTGGGAGGTGGTGTCCACCCCATCCCCCATTTCCAGCCTCTCTGGGATCCCCAATTTCAAATAGTCCCAGCAGACAAGTTGAGGCCAAGGACTGGAAGGGCAGCAACGGGCAGACGACTGTCAGGGACCGATGTGTGCGGGTGGCCCTGACTGGCAGCATGGTTTGCCAAAACCCCGGCGGAGCGCTGGCCCCCAAAGGCGGCTCGCCTTTGCCCCAGGCCACTGACGACAGGCAGCCTCTGCGTCTCCACTGGAGCAGACGCTAGGGCCGGCGCCCTCCCCAAAGCCAAGCAGCTGCAGCCCCAGTCCGACCCTGTGCCATCAGGCCCCCTCGACCGGGTGTCCGCCAGGGAGCCCCTCACCCTCCTGTGAAGTCCGGGAAGAGGGGCTTTTCCCAGGGGTGTGCCGCTTTGCGCCCAGCAGCTGCTGCTGGGCGCAGTCCCTGGGGTCTCGAGGAGGCCCATCATAACCACTCTTACGCCCACGGTGAACGCGGAGTGGAGCCGAGAGTGGGTGAATCCTACACGGCAACTGCATCCATTTTCCAAAGGGGTCGAGGAGGCTGGGTCACTCGCCTCGAGGGCATAAGGCGCAGCGCGTCTTCCTGGCTCTGTGCCATCCTTTCTCCCCACCAGCGACGCAGGGGCCCTGGCCGCGTGGACCCCTTATCAGCTTGGAGCTGTTGGACGCGGAGGACGCTTTCTCGCGCGGCGCGGGGCCGCTCGAGGTCCCGGCCGACAGCCGAGTGTTCGTGCAGGTGCGGGTGAGGGCACGTGCCAGGGCCCGGTGGGCGGCAGGTGCCGGGGGCCGATCCTGATCGCCACCCTGCCCCCAGGCGGTCCTGGCCCGCCCCTCCCCGCGCTAGGGCCTGGCCCTACACCTATGCTAGGTGACGCCGTCCTCGCGCCCATCCCCTGAGCCCGCTCTGGCGCTTCCGCGCGGGGGCTGCCCCGCCGACTCCTCGGTCGCCTTCCCTCCACCGCCGTCCCCCGCTCTGGGGGACTCCCGCCCCCACACGCTTCAGTTTCCTCTGGCGCCAGGTCTCCAACGCCTCGGTGCAGTTCCTGCACTGCCAGCTGAGTCGCTGCTGCCGCCTCCGGGAAGCCCGCCGGACGCCCGCGCCTCTGACGCTGCCGCCACCGTCGCAGGTGCGCGGGCGCGTGGCCAGGAATCGGGTCGCCGGGGCCACTCCTGAGCTGGGCACAAGCGCCTCTAGCATCTGGGGAGGAGCTCTTTGGGGTTTGGCAATTTGGGAGCTGGGGCGCTTTGGAGCCTGGGGACGGGGCTCTCGGAGCTGGGGGTAGACACTGGGTCTCACAGGCCGGGTGGCGCTGGGTACATGGACGACTGAGGGGCCGATGGCGCTCTACGCAAGGGTTCCTCAAGGGACAAGGAGTGGGCCCTGGGTTCTCTCGGGGGCAGGGCTCTGGGTCCTTCGGGCGGAGATCTGAGGTGCCCCAGGGCTGGGTGGCTGCATGCAGCAGGCCGCTAAGGGGCCACATCTCTGTGCACATGTAATGTTCACAAGTAAGATGTTCAGGGGTGTGGGACCTTATTAAGGGGCTGAAATCTGGGGTCCTCGTGGGCTGAGCGACTGCCTGCTTGTGTATCTTAAGGGCTGTGCTCTGGGCCCCTGAAGGGGCCAGATTCCCAGGGGTCTAGTGGTGTGACTCCTGATTGCTACAGAGGGCTGGGCACTTAGATCTTTGGGGGATCCAAGTGCCCAGCCCGTGGATTCCAGGGCCCGACCCCCGTCTCATGCTTCCCACTCCCGCAGTGTCTGCCTCAGGATGAGGCGTGCGCGGGCGCCAGCCGCGGCCGCGGCGAGAGCCTGGGTGCCGACAGCCCCCACCTGCACACGCTGACGCAGCCCATCGTGGTCACCGTGCCGCGGCCGCCGCCCCGTGAGCGCGCAGTCCTCCTCCGCGGGATCCCTGGGGCAGGGGAAGGTGGGTGGGGAGGACGTCTGAGGCCTGGGCCCAGTTTCCTCTGTGGGGAGAACAGAGCCACCCAAGGGCGTCCCGGGCCGACCCATGCGCCCCAAGCCTGCCGCGCCGGCCACGGCGGCCCTGGAGCCCGCGCCGGTGGTGGCGCTGGTGTTGGCCGCCTTTGTGCTGGGCGCCGCGCTGGCCGCGGGGCTTGGCCTCATCTGCGCGCACCCAGGTACCAACCTCCGCCCGCTGGGATCTCCTTCCGGGCCCAGTCTGTTCGCGCGCGTCGGGACCCGAGGCGGCCGCTATCCCTGCGCGGGCCCTGACCGTCCCCAGACTTGCGTCCGCTACGCCCGTAGCCGCCCCCAGGGGGCGCTCGACCCGGGCGCTACGCGCAGCACCCCCGCTGCTCCCCAGACCGCCTCTCCCAGCGCCCCCAGACCCCCAGCCCGCTCCCGAGAGACTCGCCCAGCGGCCCCCAGCCCAGGAGGTCCCAGTAGGCAGGTAAAAGTGTGGGGCCGGGAGTGGGGAGTGGGGCCGGTAGGATAGCTGGAGGGGGCGGGTGATGAGAACACTTCACAGCGCTTACAGTGTTGTGAATGTTTGACGCCTGTTAACTAATTTACTCTGCATAACAGCCTTCAGGTCGATATTTGTCAGAGGTCACAAAGTTTGGTGGTGCTGGGGTTAGAACTCAGGCAAGGGGGTCCCCGCAGCCGATTGCGGGCTCCCCAAACAGGCAGTAGGCGAGAATTGGGATTCAGACCTAACACCACGCTCACCCCGGCACGCAGACTGACGGAGGAGGCCAGTGATCGGCTGGGATGGAGTGGCCTGTGTCCTCTCCCTCACTTAACTTGGGTCGCCCCTTCCCAGGGATGGCGCGCCCCCAGCAGGGTCCAGAGACGCGCCAGCCACGGCCTCGGTCCAGGCCCGCCGGTACTGAACCGGCCTCCGTGGATATCGCACCTGATGGGACCACGGTCCCTGCACACCCCTCTCCCACCCTGTCTCAAAATAAACATCTGACCTGACCTGCAGAGCTCTGAAGTCTGCGTGTACGCCTGGCGCGGGGTGGGGGGGCAGGAAGCAGTGGCCCGGGACCAGGCCCGGTGGGATTCCGGTCTGGGAGCGGTTCAGACTGGAGGGGTGGGGCTGGGGGCGGGGCCATACTCCCATTCAAGGGGGCAGATACAGCCCCGGGGACAATGGCGTTCTGTCCCAAACAGAAAGGGGCACCCAACCCCACCAGTTTAAATTTTAAGTAAGCCCCACTTCCCTCCACCCCTGAGGCTCACCCAACTTCTGCGATCTTCACTGTCCACTCCTACCGCCCCCCCTTTCCTGAGCAGAGATACGAGCGGGATTACTAGCTCCGTTACACAGATGAGGAGGACCTTGAGGCTCGGCGCGGCTAAATCACTTGCGCAAGGTCCCCAGGGCTGGGCCACCGCTCTTGAAGAAGCAAAGCACGCAGTAGGCGTTTCACAAGACAGGAACGGAGGGCGGGCCCCGGATCTAAGGACTCAGCTCCAGCTCACAGAATGAGAGAAAATGTGGGCGGGGGTCTCGCCCTCGCCCGCCCCACGTCACTTCGGATGCCGGGTCCCCGGACGTCTCCCGTCCAGGCGGCGCCCCGGGGCTGGCGAGCGCATAGCCACGCCCCCATATGCCCCCGCCTCCGCGCGGTGCTTTCTGGCCCCAGCGGCCTCCGTAAGCCCGCCCATCAGGGAAACGGCACCTCCCCCGCCGGCATGAAGCCCCCGCAGCGGCGGCGAGCGGCGCCGTCGCGCTATCTTGGCGAGGTGACCGGTCCCGCGGCCTGGAGCGCCCGCGAGAAGAGGCAGCTGCTACGCCTCCTGCAGGCGCGGCGGGGCCAGCCGGAGCCGGACGCCACCGAGCTGGCTCGGGAGCTGCCGGGCCGGAGCGAGGCCGAGGTGAATGGATCCCGGGAAGGGAGCGAGGCTGGGGGCGGGGCGGTAGGGGGCGGAGCCTATGGGTGGGCGGGCCGAGGTGCGGCCGGGGGCGAGACTGAGGGGCGGGGCGAGGGGGAGGCCGCGCCGCGCGGGGGCTGGACGATATTCGGAGGACGGCTGGGCGGGGGCGGTGCCTGCGTGAGGCTAGGGGCGGAGCGAGTCCCGAGTCCGAAGGAGTGGAGGCCTGAGACCCGCGAGGGTGCAGCGGGAGCCGGCGTGAAGCGAGATTCAAGTGAGATGCAGGACGGAGCGGGGAGGTGACTAGGACGATCATTATCACGTGGGTGGGTCCTGGATACCGGGAGGGCCTGGACCCTACATCTTTGCTAGGTAGTTGGTCAACACATGGGCTCTTGGCCCAAGACCCCGGGCAGCCCTGAGACCCTTACCACTCGCTAGGGGAGGCTAAGAGTGATGGCAGTGGGCTTTGGTCTCTCCCCTGCCCTGGACCTAGAGAAGCCCGTTCTCTCTTCCCTAGATCCAGGACTTTCTCCGGCAGCTCAAGTGCCGCGTGGCCCGGGAAGCCATTCAGAGGGTCTATCCAGGTGGCCCACAGGGTCGAAGGCTCCGGGAAACGCAGATCCCAGCCCCCATTGAGGTGAGGCAGGGCTAGGCTCTCCAGGGCCAGCCCCCTAGTGAAAACCCGGTAAGGGATTCTGTGGGTAAAATTCTAACATTTCCGGAGTTGGCTTCAGTTTATTTGCATATCCTCAGGGGTGGAGAGAAGCTCATCTCCATGTCTATGGGTAATTACCTGGGCAACCGTAGGCACCTCTGAGAGTTTAAAAGGAGGGGCTGGCTTGCTTGCTTCAGGAGCAGAGGAGAGCCGGCCCTGGACTGCAGTTTGTAAGCAATACATGGGTTTTAAACTTTTATTTCTCCCTTTGACTGGTTTCGGTTTTTAGAGGTATTTTGCCCTGGGATTTCCTCTCCCCAGACTTACAGACTCCTAGGAGGGGCAGGGCTTCTGGGAACCCTCCCTAGGCTGACCTGTACCTTCTGATTGCCGCATCCAGGTATGGGTGGATCTGGCTGAGAAGATAACAGGCCCGCTGGAGGAAGCCCTGACTGTGGGGTTCTCACAGGTATGGCATCTTCAGGCGGGACGGGGGTGTCCCCAGAGAAAGGGTCATGAATCTCAGTAAGGTGGATTTGGGTCCCGAGCCCTGCCTTTTGCCAGCTCTGTCACTCTGGCCAGTCACCAGACACCCTGAGCCTCATTGTCCCCGCTTCTGAGGCCACCTCATGTATGTGATGCCTTCCTCAGGGTGACAGGATTTGGCTAGGAGGTACATGTGGAGGGCGTGCAGGGCAGGGGTGTGGCCAGCTGGAGGAGGACTCACGCCATTCCTTCCCTGATCTCTGCCTGCCAGGTGCTCACCATCGCGGCCACGGAGCCTGTCAGCCTCCTGCACTCCAAGCCCCCCAAGCCCACGCAGGCACGTGGAAAGGTACGGCTGCTCAGTGCCCCTGGAGGGCAGGATACCCCTAGCTCCACCCCCGAGGCCCCCGGCCCCGCCCCCGAGGCACCTTCAGAATCCGGGGCCGGCCTCTCGGGCCAGGGAGACCTGTCTGTGGACTTCGAGAAGATCTACAAGTACCTGTCAGCCATCTCCCGCAGTCACCATGGCCCTGAGCTTTCTGCAGCTGGTGAGAAGCATGGGGGGCAGGGGCTGTGGGAGGGGGGTCCCGGGCACAGGCCCTTCCTCACCCCTTCTCCCTATTTGCAGAATCAGCTGTGGTCCTTGACTTGCTCATGGCCCTTCCTGAGGAGCTGCCGCGCCTGCCCTGCGCCGCCCTGGTGGCACATATGACAGATACATACCTAAGCCTGACGGCCCCTCAGCCAGACCCAACCAGGGAGAGCCTGGGGCCCAAGGCTGGGGGCGGTGGGACGGGCTCCAGGGAACAAGAAGAGGACGGCCAGGCTACCCCCCACGCCCCTGAGAATGCTGGGCCTGGTGAACAGAGATCCACTTGGCAAGCAGCTGGGGTCTGCCCCCTGAATCCGTTCCTGGTGCCCCTGGAGCTCCTTGGCCAGGTGGCTCCCCCTTCAAGGTGAAGGCCGTGCAGGTAGAGGCCACCCTAGATGTCTGTGAGTTCCTGGCCCTCAGCCCTGCTCAGTGGCCCTAGGTTGTCCTGAGGGTCAGGTCATGGAAGGCCCCCTGCGCGGTGCACAGGTGGTATACATAGGGCAGCCCTTAATAAGATGCTGGATGCAGTGGGGTTTCCACAGAGGATGCGCCATGGTCCTAGGGGACCACTGAGGCAGCTGGGCCAAAACCATGGTCAGATTCTACCCCCCTACCCCCCACCCCACTTCCTACCTCTCCCATGTCTGATCTGTGCCCTGTAACTGAATAAAGCTTTCGTCCGTCCGCCTAGTTCTTTTTCTCCTGTGAGTTAAAGTGTGTGTGGGGGATGCCGAAGTGCCGGAGGTGGGAGAGCCAGAGCTTGGGGTCCTGGGGGTGGGGTGACACGTCAGGGATGGGGACGCAGTTGTTGGTAGAAGCAGCTGCCGCCAGGCCCATCTGAAATGGCCTTGGTTTGGCAGTGGCCATGAGGGTGACCTTTGGTGATTTTGTGGCAGTGGGGGAGGCCTGGGCCTGGCCCGACAGGGAGGGTTTCCAGGTGGGGGTTGCCTCACATACAGATGGAGGGGAGAGGGCAACTGGAGGTGGGCCTGGTCAGGGGACACGGGGTCCCACCTCCAATCTCCCTAAGGTGTGGATTCAGGGTTAGGTCTGGGAGGAGGGCTGGGGGAACCCGGTGCCCTCCCATGGCACGCCTCCTCCCAAGCCCAACTAGTCCCCTGAGAACTGGTGAATTGTCTGCCTGGAAAGCCTGTGCGTTCACACCGCCTGCCTTTTATAGAAACACTCTTCTCCCCACACACACTGCACATGGCTTCCCGAGGGTGCACAACACATCCCTGGGGCAGGCAGTGGATCAGAGCCAGCCCACTCCACGATCACAGCCCCACGGGGGCCACACTCAATGGTTTCCAAGGTCCACATGATGGTGGGCAGGAGGGCCAGGCAAAGGTTTGCATGCTCACAGTGCCAGGAGGCCATGCCAGTTCTTGGAGACAACATCCGGAGCTGGCAAGGGCACCCATCCCACCTCCCCACCAGGCTCAGTCCATTCCTCCATCTCCGGAGTCTCCCCAAATCAAGGGAAGGGATGGGGAGTCTGGGCTGTGTCTGGAGCTGGGGGGGGTGTCTATCGAGATGGTGATACATCCACCACCACCCCGGGAATGTGGATCTGGGTGTTTCCACAGCACTGGGCAGCAAACCGCGTGTGGAGGCCAGACGTGGGGTCACATTCCCGCCAGGCAAGCATCCAGCCCTGCAGTGTGGGCAAGCCACTCAAGCTGCCCGGACATCAGGCCCCCTGCCCGTAAGGGGCAGTGCTGACACTGCATCCCGAAGAGGGAACAGGCCATGCGCAGGAGGCGCCAAGCCAACAGCTTCTTGGCACGTAGTAAGCATTCAATAATAGCTTTTATTATCACCATTGGCTCAGAGGCAGGGGGAGGGCCATGGGGGGATGGCAGGAAGGGTCAGGGGAAGTGGCAGGAGGGCCTACAAGGGGTCCAGGTGGTGACCAAGGGCGGGGCATGCTGACCTGCACGGGGAGGGCTGAGGGCGGGAGTGAGCCTAGCCGCGCCCTTCCCCCTCGGAGGGCGCCACGCATCCCGGACACAGCAGCATGGTCGCTCCTCAGGCTCAGTCTCCCAGGCGGGCAGCGCAGGGCACACAGGAGCGCGGCGTAAACCCTGCGCGGGGCCGGAGCCCAGCCAGGGGGCTCAGCGCTTACAGGGGATGGGGTGGGGCACGGGAGTATGGCCAGACCACCGGGGTCGGAGGGGGGACACGGGGCTCCCCGCATCCGGGAACGCACATGGTACTCATGCTCGGCGTTAGTGACCTACACGATGGCGGAGGGGGTTCCTCTTCCCGCCCGGGCTTCGGAGTCGGGACCGGTGTCACGGGGCGAGAGCAGGGCGGGACGAAGGCACGAAGTGAGGCTCCGGCCTGGCCAGGAGGGAAGATGGGCGGGGGAGGAGGGGAAGGGCCGGCTGGTCCTCACGCCCTCCCGCCGGGGGCTGGGGCTCCGGGAGGGATCCCGGCGGCGGCCGTGCCCCCACGGCATCCCCGACGGGTGGGGGCCCTCGGAGGAGGTCCCGCCAGGCTCAGACCAGCGCGTAGTCGAACTGCCCGCGCTCGAGCGCCTCCTTGTGGTCGGTCCAAGACGAGGCGGGCATGCGGCTGTAGGGGTCGAGCAGGATGCGCACGCAGCGCACCATTAGGAGCACGAGCACCACCAGCAGGCAGAGCACGAAGGCGAACACCGTGCGCTGCTCGGCGTCCAGGCCCGCGCCCACCGGGGGCCCCGTCGACGGCGGGGGCGGCTCGGGGGACAGGGTCCACGCCGCGCTCATGGCTCACATCGCCGCGCGCCCTGCGGAGGAGGGCACCCGGGTATCAGGATGAGACCTGCGCCCCGCCCCGCCCCTGGTCCCGGGCGACGCCCATACCCGGTCCGAGGACCGCTGCCGCCGCGCGGAGACCCAGCCCCGGGCGTGCGCGCAGGTGGGGCCGCGGAGAGCGGGCCCCGGGAGCCCGACCCGGCCGGCGCACAACAGGTGCCAGCACGCCGCGCGGCCCGGCCCAGCCTCGTCCCTTTGTTCTCCGCGTCCGGGGAGCCATCCCCGCCCCCGCCCCCGCCCTCCAGCCCGCCCGCCAGCCGCGCCCCTCACCCTGGCTTGCACCGGGACGGGCACCGGGTGCCCGGAGGCCGCGCTCTCCTCCGCGACCCGCGCTCTCTGCTCCGGCCTTCCCCGCGGCGGCGGCGACAGCGGCGGCGGCCCGGGCTCAGCCCACCCCACCCGCCTGGAGCGGCGGAGACCGAGGCGGGCGCCGCGCGCTAGCCGGGCCGCCTCGCTTGTTCCCATGGCGACGGGGGCGGGGCGCCGCGGGGGGCGGAGGCTGTGCTGGGAGCGCAGCGCGGTCTGCGACCCCGCCCGGCCGCCGGGAAGCCCCGCCCCGCCGAGGGGACCCTGGCAGGGGAGCCGTGAGCACCCAGGACCCCACCCTCCCCGCCCCCACGAGTACCTGACACCCCGACCTTTGCCTCGCACGCCCATGCCCATCACCCACAACCTGTTGGGGGATCCCAGCACCCCCACATATCACTTCAGGGCACTCAAGCCCCTGCAGTCCTGGAGACCCAACCTGAGACCCCAGCCAGGTCACTGAAAACCTCCGTGGCTTTCATCGCCCTTCACCTGGGAATAGGGTCCTGATCAGACCACGCTGCTCCCTCTGGGGCTGCAGTTTCTTCAGTGACCTTGACGGCCTCCCTGCGAGCACCTGGCCGGCTCCCGCCCCGACTCCCACCCCTCCAGACCCTCAGCCTCGGCACAAACATCGCGAAACACCCAGGTTGTTCTCCTGCACTTTGGTGTTTTATTTCCAAATCTCCGGCGTACGTACAGAATAGTCAGGGCACTGTGAAAAGTAACAAGGAGCTAACTGGCCTGGCCGACACAGCCAGTGGGCCGCTCTTGAGTGGCAGGGCCTGGGCCCCACCACCCCACCTGGGAGGGAGCCCCGGGCCCTGGAGTCTTGGCACTGTCTGGTCCATGCGCCTCAGCGGCCCAAGCCAGCAGCCCCCACAGGGCGGAGCAGGGACCGGGGCTGGGGCTGTCGGAGCAGCCTCAGCAGCTGTACCCTTGTCTGGCGGTGCAGATGCCCTGGGAAGAGGGTGAGGCAGGCCTCTTGTCCCCACAGGCCTCCCTGCTGCAGGAGGACCTGTCCCTGTGTGTCCACCGCGTGATCGTCCAGCCCCAGGGTTCGTCCTGAGCGGCGTTCAAAGAATCTGCTCTGTACTGGAGGCGGAGATGTCCAGAAGCCGCCAGGCTGCGTAGGGGTTGAGCTCGTCCTGGTCTCGGCAGAGGGCCCACACATACAGCATGCGCAGCACCTTGTCCTGCAGGAGCCGGACAGAGGGTGGGGTAGGGGGAAGGCCAGGCCACAGGGACGCTGGGGGGACAAGGGAGGGGCTGGCTTAGGGTGCCAGGGGTCATGGGAGAGGCTAGGGCCACTCAGCATTTGCTAAAATCAGACAGGTCAGACCCCTCTGACCTCCACAGGCCCCACTAGGGCCCTGGGACTTTGCAAGGCACTGTCCTGCTGTCCCCATGGCATCATAGAACCTCCTGGCTATGAACCGCCTTCAGAGCAGGGTAGCCAGAAGCACCCATGCCACCGTCTTACGCCGACCTGTGCTGGGCTCCCTGCCTCACTCACCGGGTCACCCTCGACCAGCTCGCCCTTGGGGTTCTTGATCACCATCACCAGCTGGGCCTGGAAGGTGATGATCAGTACAGGGCCCTGCTCCATCATCTTGCCCATGGCCAGCTGCGGGCGAAAGGGTGGGCGAGGTTCAGAGAGGGACCCACCCGTTTCCTGCTGACCCCTCCCCGCTGCCACCCGGCCCCAGCACCCCGTGAGGCCGTCCCTGTCGGGAACTGAGATCTGAACTGCTGAGCACGTGTGCAGTCTCCCTGTATCTGGGCGGGGTTGTGTGGATGCAGAGAAGCTCGCGGAGCGCCGACCCGCACAAGCTGGGGAGACGCAGGGAGCCTCGCGGAGCACCGTGTGCACAGGCGGGTCCACAGCACAGGCAGGGGGCTCGGGACCTCGCGGATGCCATCCGCGCAGGTGGGGGTGGAGGGGAGAGAGTGCTGACATGCTTCCCACTCCCCACGGGGAGGAAATGGGGACATGCTTGCAGGGGGTCCTAAGCAGTCTGAAAGCCCCTGCCCTTCCTAGTGAGGGTCCAGGACAGCACTGCTTTGGGGGCCCTGAAGCTGGGGCTTTGCGCCCACCACATGCCTAAGGACTCTCTAACTGCAGGCCTGTGGGAACGTCTCGGGGAAAGGGGCCCTGCCGCAGCAGCTCGAGGGTGGGGCGCGGAGTGGGCTCCTCCCCACCGAGCACACCTTCCCAGCGCGGCAACAAGCCGAAGAGGACACTTACGTCGACATTGTCGATGTCCAGGACCCGCGAGTGGAGCTGGAGGCCCAGCGCCTTGGCCTGCTGGATCGGGTGGGCCAGCTGGCTGTAGGTCTGCAACAAGAGGTGCACGCACCTGTGGGGCCACCCACACACGAGTCCCCCACGGGGCCCTGCAGCTGCCACCGCCCAGCCACGGCTGCAGCCCCCAGGGAACACTCCCTGCAGCGGGCTTCCCGGCCCAGCTGCCCGCTTTCAGCGCTTGCACCTTCCAGAAACGTCTCCTGTGCCTGCCCCCCACCAGGCATGGCAGATGCCAGGGGCACAGGTCCAAGCAGGGGGGTTGGTGCCAGTGCCACCCATCCACTGGCCTGGACCACACTCCCCCCCCTTAGAAAGACTGTACCAAGACCACCGAAGGAAAGTGATATTAATCAGCAACGTGGGTGACCCCCTCGGGACACGCCTGCCATGCGCTCCCTCAGAGGTAAATTGAGGTCTCTCTGGCCAGTCTTGAGCTTCCCCGTGTTCACCTCTCTGAATCTTGGCCTGGAGTCAAGCGCTTTTTCTAGGATTTGTCCTAACCCGTAGCCGCTCGGAAATGAACTGCCTGGACCGCCTCCTATGCGGCTACAGGTAGCCTGGCCTGCCGGGGAGGCAGTGGTGCCCAGATGGCACCCCCACTGCCTTGTGCCAGCTCCCATGCCCAGGACACGTGCAGCCTTGTCTCCGTCCTCTGAGGCTTCCCAGGGCTCAGCAGGCAACCATGTTGGAAGGCACTGCGGCAGATCCGGTTTATCCGGAGGCAGCTGATCCGCCGAGAAAAGGGAAACAGTGCCAATCTGATTCTTGTGAGGTTTCTTAAACATGACATTTAAAAACGCCCCTGTGCAAGGATTTGCAGGGCCCCCCGGTGGCTTTGGCAGACATAATCAGCCACGTCGTGATGGTCCCAAAGTAAAACAACATAAATGCCCGTTGGATTAGTCACCGTGCAGGCAAGTGTTTAAAAAGAAAATGTGCCACCTTCTCCTCTGCTTTTCCCAAGTTGTTTGGGAGCTGGGTACAGAAGACAGGCAGCCGAAAGCCTGGGTTGCTCAACACAAAGAAGCTGGGGGAAAAGAAATGACCGGAGAAGGACACAGGTCAAGGCGAGGTGAGGTGGCCGGGCACTGTGTGTTCCTGGGGACGCCCACCTGCCTCCGGCGCAGCCCAGTGCTGCGCAGCCCTGGGCGCCAGAGAGGACTCTGGGAGCAGCCGGGCCTTGTCTGGCCACTCCTGGGGCAGGAATCTATGGCAGTCTGTTTGGGGAGCTTGCCGTGAGGACGGCTAACTAGTCCACCAGCACTCTGTTTTGTGCTGTACCCTGGTGACCACCGAATCTGGCCCGGTGGGGGGAAGGTGACGAAGGCTCGTGTGCTGAGGAAGCGTCTAATGCACCCCAATTGTCCTCATCCTTTGCTACCTGCTCCCTGACCCCAGGCCCCCGCCTGTATCCCCCATAGCCCAGGTCCCACCCTTCCCAGACCCAGCCACCCAATCAGTCTGTCTTCAAACTGTGATTTATTTTTCAGGCCTAAATGGAGAAGAAAAAAAGGAAGTACTCACAGCTTCATAGCACCAGTCTTTGAGAATGTCAAGCTCTCCAGAAATCATGGCCTAAAAAGAGGGGAACAAAATAATAAGTTCGGAAGGGAGCAGGTTTCCAGGCAGAAGAACCTGGGCACAGTCGTCCCAGCGGGACCTTCCCTCCACAGGCCCCGGGTCCCAGTGGGGCTGGCCTGCAGTGTGCGGGGCCCAGGCTGTGGCCAGAAACCCGGCCAGGGAGGCAAGGAGCCTCCCTCCGCCTGCAGCCCAGGCGGGCGTCTGCAGGGCCAGGCCCACCTGGCAGGCAGCCTTCTTCCCGGGTGGGTGCCCAAAGTGCACTGGGTGCTGCTCCCCAGGAACTGGAAGAGGGCTGCATCCCGTGAGGGGGAGCGAGGAGCCAGGTACCCGTGGGGACTGCATGGAGGCTGCCTTCGGGAACCACTCCATTTCCAGCCCCAGCCACCCAGCCCGGAGTGGCCGAGGGACCTGGAGGCTGGGCAGGGAGAAGGGACCAGGAGGAGGCTGGTGGACAGAGGCGGCAGGAGGGGCAGGAGGCACTCAGGTGGGCCGGCCTTCCGAAGGCTGGGCCTGGCTGGGCTCCCACCACGTTTGGGGGCTGGAGGCAGAGAGGCGGCAGGGAAAGGACAGCTGACCTCCAGGCAGGGGCCTCGGGGAAGGTGAGCTGTGGTGGGTCCCTGAACAAAAGGGGGAGCTGAAAGCTGGGATTCGGGGCTCCCAGAGATGAACCCTTTCGGGAAAGCCCCCTTTGGCTGCCGGGCTCCTGTCCCCCTGCGTGGAGCTGTGTGCACCCCAGGACCCTCCCTGCGGCTCCCCACACTCCCGAGCGGCCCCTGGCACCCGGGAGACAAGCTCCTGGCCGGGGAGCTGCCCAGGGCCACCTTGAGTTTCACGCAGAGCGGGAGGGAACATGGCAGTGGCCCCGCAGGTTTCGGTGGGCAGGGGAGGCAGGAGCTGCCCGACCTCAAGATAGTCAATCCCCAGAGCACGCACACGTGTGGGTGAAGCAGGAAGCACCAGAGCCGCGCTCCCTGGGACCAGCGGGGCCGCGGGCCACCCCAAAAGCCCTCTCAGAGGCGCGGGCTCACAGGGCAGGGTGCGGGGGGCAGTCAGGCCTCTGAGGACTGTGGCGGTGTCTGCTGAGCTGGGCCGTGCTGGTGGTGCGCTCGCCCTGGGGCAGGCTGAGGCTCGGGGCCTGGGGTGCACCTGCGGGCGGACGGCCCCCGGACGGCACACACCTCCAGCACGTTGGGGATGATGTCCTTCTCACACTGCCGCAGGAACCGGTCCTTGTCGAAGGCGGGGTCCACCCGCAGGATCTCTGTGAGCACCTCCGACATCTCCGTCTTTGAGAACAGGCCCCCTGGGGGCAGCAAAGCCAGGAGTGCGTGAGGGCCGGACTCTGCCTGCAGCTCGCCAGGGCTTGCGGGGGATGGTCTGGGGCCCCCACTCACCCAGCAAGTCTGTGACCTTGTCTGTCAGCGCGCGGGAGGCCCGGATAAGCGCGTTGTCACTCTCATCATACCTCAGCTTCATCTCGAAGAACCCTGTGGAGGCGGGCGGGTCAGGGGCCCTCCGGAGAGGCGCCACCTTCCGGGCCAGGTGAGAGCCATGTGAACTACCCTGTGCCTCCACCACGCAGGAGACGCTCCTAGTGATCCTCACCGGACAAGGGCACACGGCCGGGAGCAAGGAGTGCTGACATCCCTTGGGAGGGAGCACCTCGCAGTGGAATCTGGCTACAGCGAAGGTTGTAACCCCACCCCCCTGCAGGGTCCCTGCAGCAAGATGCGCAGGGGCTTCCCCTCAGGCCACTGCACAGGCGCTGTGCAGCCACACCTCCACTGCTCCCTCGCTGGGAGGCCCTATGGAAGTGACTGGTCCTCTCTGACCGTCTCCTCGGCTGTAATGCGGGAGCCTGGCTTGTGCCAGCACACAGGGCACGGTCAGTTAGTGCCCACTGTCACCGCCCTGTGTTAGCCAAGCCCTGCAACGTGAACACTCACGATTGAACACCACGTTGTTGTCCCTGAAGTCTTTCCACTGCTGGTACCACTTGGAGTCCTTGTGCAGCACGACCCCCAGGGCCTCCCTGGGGCAGATGGGGGGGGTGCAGTGTGAGCAGGGGCAGGTGGGGAGGGAGCAGCAGGGTGCCAGGCCTGGGCTACTGGTTGGCTCCTGCCTTCCCTCCCCTTCCCACCACCCGCCCTTCCCCCCAGGTTCTCCCAGGGGCCAGGAAGCCTCAGGCAGGGAAATAGCTCGAGAAACCGACGGGGGTCTGGGACCCCCATGGCCCCAGACAGGGACAGGCGGGCAGGGGCAGCAGGCGAGCAGGGGCAGGGGCCCAGCTGCAGGCCCGGCTGGTACCTACTCGTTGGGTTCGAACACCTTCTCCCCCTCGGACTTTCCTCCTGAAAGCTCCTTCCTTCTCCGGAGCCGCTCTGGCCTCCGGTAGGGCCCGGTCTGCCCCAGGACGCTTTCGTCAATCTCCTTCCTCACAGATTCCACCCCCTGGAGGGAAGGGCAGCCACCACGGCATGGGTGCCAGGGGCCTTCCCGAGCCTGAAGACGCCCGGGCCACGGGCGCCGGCTGAGGGGCTGGCAGCCAAGGGCAGGCGGGAGCCCTGGTGCGTTGACCCGCTGCTCCCTGGCGCTGTGACACCTAAGGCCACCGCCTGGCACCCCGAGCAGGCCTCCCAGCAGCGGGCCCCTGCACCCCGAGGGTTGCCAGGAGACGGGAGCCCGGGTCTGGGATCTGGGACCTCGGCAGCCAGCTCACCTGGGAGAGGGCTTTGAAGGCGGCGGTCCTGCCCAACTTCTCCCCACCCTTTGACACCGACTCAGCCGACTGCTTGGCGGTCTTGGCAGCCTCTTCCATACCCTCCTTGATTTTCCGGCCAAAGTCGCTTTTACTGACTTCATCGAGACTCTACTGAGGCGGAGGGAGTGCCGTGTCAATGCGGCGGCCTTGGGGGCCCATGGGAGCTGCCGGACCTAGGCCAGGCCGGGCCTGCAGAAGCGGGATCGGGAGCTCTAGCTCACAGCGCTGTGGGCAGAGGGACTGAGACCTGGGCACAATTTCTGGGCTAGACGCTGGGTCCATGGCCACCCGTGCACAGGCAGGCGCCCTGGGCCCCCATGGGCCCAGATGAGCAGCAGTCCCGGGGGAGGAAGGAGAGGGCGGGTGGGCATGCAGAGCCCTGTCCACGGGAAGCAAACAAGCTAGGAGAAGGCCCTGCCCTGAGCGGCCTTACTGCATCGCCCCCGCCCCGTGCCTCCGGTCCATTCCTGGGCAGGAAGCAAGCACCAGCTGTCCCTGTGGAAGCTGCTGGGCTCCTAACTCAGGTGTGAGCTGCTGGCAGGCGGGCAGGCCGACGTGGCCCTCCTCCCAGCCAGGTAGCTGACACCCATGCCAGCTGCCAGCTGCCCTGCTCCCAGGGGAAACAGGTGGCGGGGTGCCCGGTGCGCACCTCCTTCACAGAGCCCGTGATCTCCCCCAGCTTCCTCCTTATTACTTCACTCGTCCGCACGGTCTCAGATTCAATGGTTTTCTGTGGGAAAGGACGTTGTTGCGTTTTGTTATGATACAACAGGTGCCTTACAACCAAAGGCGGGTGCTTAGCAGCGGCTCAAGAAGACACGAAGCAGGAATTAGTGATCCGAGTCGCACCGAAGCCCACTCCCACCCATTTTGCTCAGAGAACCGTGACCAGGAGAGTCTCAGGAGCATCCCACCCCCAACCTAGAGCGCGAGGGTTGCCTGGGGACCTTGGGGATGCAGGTTTCGACCCAGCCAGTGGGGAGGGCTCTGAGTCCCTGATCCTGTCACAACCTCCCAGAAGCCAGCACTGCGGGCTGCAGAGGACACTGCCCTGATGGCAGGGAAGGGAGGCCAGGTGACCCACACTGGCTGCTGGCTCCCTGCCGTCACCATGGTGACCCCGCACCCTGGGCCTATGCTCTACTGGGCCGTCGGGGCTGGGAAGCAAGTGTGCCAGCCAAGGGAGACGCGAAGCCAGGGGACTCACGTATTTCCTCCTGGCTTCCTGCAGCGCGTCGGACTCTTCCAACTTCCTGGCCTCGTCTCGAAACTTTTTAATACTTTCTTTCATTTCTTTGTTTTTGGCTAAGTCCTGTTTGATATTATCTAGCAAGCCAGAGAGAAAGCTTTTCCTGTTTCCAGAAGAATAGGATTTGGACTAAAAGGAATGTAAAAAAAACAGAGAATTTAAAAAATCTTCTCCTGTCTGTTGATGATGCACATTTAAGAGTCAGTAGCCATCTCTTTTAAAAGGGAGATAAAAGAAACTTAAAAAAGCGTCAGGCAGTAAATAAACTGTGGGTTCCCCCAGACAATGAAATGTTATTCCCTCTCAAGCCACGAAGGAACCTTGAAGGCATAATGTTCAGTGAAAGAAGCCAATCTGAACAGGCTCCACGGTGTGTGATCCCAACTCTGTGGCATCCCGGGAAAGGCGAAACTACAGAGACGGTGAAAGGATCGGCAGCTGCCGTGGGGCTGGAGGAGGAGGCACGGCCAGAGCACAGAGGACCTTTAGGGCAGGGAAGCCACTCTCTCTACAGTAACAAACCCAAAGAATGCGCAACACTGGGAGAGGCCCGACCATCAACTACCGGCGTCTGTTACTAGCAGCAATACTGGCTCATCAGCTGTACCAAATGCGGGGAACTGTGTGCCCAGGTGGGAGGGGTGGGGAGAAGCCGTGGATGGGGACTCTCTGTACCTTCCACACCACTCTTCTGTGAATTTAAAACTGCTCAAAAAAAATAAAAGTCTACGAAAAAAAACCAAAATGCCAGGCTCCGTCCTTGTCCCACACACAGGAAACGCTGGATGAGCCACAGGTGGTTTGGAATCTTCCCGGGGATTCAGACACACTCACGAGCAAAGGCCAACATCCAAGCGGGCCCTCATCCCAGGACTGGAGCCCAGGACAGGATTCTGGGGCTCTTCACCCCAAAGGAGCCTGCACAGGGCCCTAAACCCTGGGCTATGGGGCCTGGGGGACCCCTTCCTCTGGGGCCACTCCCACGTCACCCAAGGGCCCTGCTTTGAGACTGGCACAAACATCCCTCTCTGGCCCGCAGGATCGCTGTCACTGAGAGCCCAAGCTCAGGGGTCACCCCCATGGAGGAAAACCCAGCACCCCCAGAGGCCAGGCCCTGAGGAGGCCAGAGGAGAGCCGCACTCTGGGAGCAAGAGCCAGTGCTGTGCCTGCCACGACACTGGCTTTGGGGAGAGAGCCCTGCATCGTCAGCTGTTGCTGAAAACGGGCTCAGGAAAGAGAAAACTTCAAGAATCGCAGTGAGGGTGTCAACGCACAGGGATGAGCCGCATGTGCCAGTCATCCCCCCACCACCATGGATGTGCCGGCTCTCCACAGTGGCAGGGGACATGCTGCGTTTCAGGGGCGCCTGCTGCCCCGGCCCCCATCAAGCCCCAGAGAATGCTGCGCCAAGCCGGGGTGCTGCTCTGCAGGAGCGGGTGCTGGCCAGCCTTTCTCCAGGGGAAGCCCAACGGCTGGCCAGGACGGCACCACCGGGCAACCTACTGCTCCCTCAGGCTGCACACTGAGGGTGTGCGAGGGGACAACTCAGGGGAAGGGCTGCAGGGCCCACCCCATGCCCACAATGGCCCCAACACAGGGGCAGGGAGAGAAAGCCAGTGCGAGGCAGGCACAGGCGAGTGGCTGACTGCACGGGGGCGGCTGAGACGAGGCGGAGAAGTAAGGGAGCCTGAGGACTGGGGGAAGAGGGCCTGGTCTGGGGCTTAGAGAGGCATCAACAGAAGTGAGGCTGAAGAGAAGTGATGAGGGGGGTGAAAGCTCTAGAACATGCTATCTGTGATGAGCGACGTAAAGGATGGGGGGAGATGTGGCCCAGAGAAACCAAGCCCCAAGAGAGGGTGACTCTGCTCCAGGGCCTAGAGGGCTGTCACCAGGAAAGGGTTTGCACCCACAGGTGGAAGCTGCAGGGAGGGGGCGCTCAGCTCCATACCGTGACGCCTTTCCAACTATCGGAGCTGACACAGCATGCCACTCTGTGGCAGGGCCCATCCCTGACCACGTCCTCTACTTCCTGGGATACAGACAGGCTCGGGCACACCGGACTCTAGAACTCCGAGGGCCTTGGAGGTGGAATGTTCGCCTGTCAGAGGCCACAGGCAGTGTGGGCCATGTCGTGTGGCCCGGTCTTCTGAACTAGATCTGATTCTTCAGACGGCCCCCTTCTGCCTGCCTGCCTGCTTGCGCCCTGAGTCACTCACCAGGGACAGCTCTCCACCTGGCCGGCGTATCTGATGGGTACCGTGGGGCAGCAGTGCAAGGTTGTGGCTGGACAGAAACTGGATTCTGCTGCTGAAGCATCTCTGATTGGGAGAGAAAAGAGAAAGATCCATTCAGATAAGAGGGTGACCAGGAAGCAAGCAGGCCACACTGACAAAGCAGGGTCGCCTGCTGATCTGCTGATTTTCGTAGCATGCCCACTGCATGCTAGATGCTCTGCAATCTCCCCAAAATTCTGAGAAGCCAGTGGAATCTGGTGGAAACAGAAAACACTGATCTGCACCTTAAGGGCTTGTGTCTGCTCCCGCCTCTGAACGTGGGGGAAACCAGATGCATCCTGGGAAATGCCATGCTATGGCGGAAGGCTCAATATGCCAGTCTGATTTCATCTTAGTCTTAAAATGGGCAAGCAAAGCCTCGAAGCTGGCAGCAGGTAATCTGCTCTCACAAGCTCACCCCACTTCTGCCGACCTTGGAGACTGGGCTGCCAGAAGTAAACACAGATTACTTGCCTTGGGCAGAACTCTGCAATAAACCTACCATGCCCTGGTCTGAGGTGGGCTGCAAGCAGGGTAACCGAGGGGAGTCACTTGGGCAAAGACCCTGCTCATGTCACATCAAAGACATTTCTTCTTGTACTTTATGGTGAACTTGAGCTCCGTGAGGCAAGGGCCTCTTCAAGGCTACACCTTTGCACCTGCAGGAGCCAGGCAACTGGTCCACGACCCCACAGAACCACCATCCCATTTCCACATCCCCTGGGCCTTTTCTCTCCCTGTTCCATGCTTCCTGTCTCTACGAATTCTAGCCATCATCTCAAACTTTGATGCCACCATCTCCCATAGCTACTCAAGAGTAACTCTGGGGAGTTTAAATAACCTGTTGGTATTTCTCTATGTACTTAAGCACATTATTCCTGGAGCCACTGACTCAGCAACAGTCTGAAACAGGAGATGGCTGTCTAACTTGGACCAAATCTGACGCTGGCCCCCGCTACGTCTTGTGCCCAAATCCAAACACGTGTGAACTAAACCTCTAAACCCTGACTCAACAGATAAGCAGCTAAGAAAAAAATCAGTCCCGCGTTGAAGACACCTTCTTTCTCCCAACATTCAGATTCCCATGAGATATTTTCTTTCCCCCCGAGTCTGGCTCTGGTGTCAGAATAACGTGGTTTTTGAACCAGGTCAGCTACCCCGCCACTTTTGAGACCGTGGGCAGGTTGCTTAACCTGAGTTCCCAGTTTCCTAAACTGAACTTGTAAAATAGCGACGAGCAGCTGAGTACGCTTTACATGCCCGACTCCCACCGCCCCTAAGAACCCAAGTTCTCAGTCAGGCCGAGAAGTACGTCCCGCACTTTCACGCCGAGGGTCAGAGGCGAGGCAGGAAATGCTCTGGCGAGGGGACCTGGCGTACAAACGCGACCCGTGAGCGTCACGGTCTTCTGCCTTCTCGTTCCTTTTTCTTCACGAAACGCCGCGGCCACCACGCACTCCCCGGCGCACGTGGGGTCTGAGCAGTAGGTGAGTGGTGATCCCCTCCCCGCCGAGCTCCGCGCACTGCCGACCCCGGCCGGGCACGCTCGGCCCTCGCCCTCTGGCCTCGCTCCGGGCCCCCCGCCCCGGCCTCTGGCTGACTCCACGACCCAACCCTGAGCCTCCTGTCTAGCCCGGGGAAGGGCCGAGGGGACCACAGACCTAAGGAGAAGGAGGCCCTGGAGGTCGCGGGCCCAGGGCTCCCTGGCCCGCCCTCCCTGCGCCGCACGTCCGCTCACCTGCGGGCAGCTGCACCAGCTCCCCCATAGGGCCGCCGCGGCCATGTTGGAGGATCCCGTCTGACCTTCTCGCGTCGCGGTTCGATTGCGTCATCCTCCGTCTGCCTAGCGTTGCGTGTTCATGAGGAAAGCCAGCCCTAGGGGCGTGGTCTCGGAGAGGGAGAGGCTTATGATTGGGTAGGGCTCGGTGGGGGGTGGGGCCTTGGAGCTCCGACTCCGATGGGGCGGAGCCTGATAGGTAGGCCTCTGATAGGGCAGGATTTCGAGAGAGCGGGGGCCTGTGACTGGATGGGACCGTGGGGCGGGCACTCCTGTGAGGCGGAGACCTTTGGCTAAGACAGCGAAGGGGCGGGGATGCCCATGCAGCTCGGGGCTTCCGGTAGCCGGAAGGACAAATAGCGGGACCGGCCTTAGAAACCGGTTCGGTTGGGTACTGGCCGACTGATTGACTGGCGGAGCAGCCCGATTGAGTCTGGCTCTCACTGACAGTGACCGACGGGGACCGACTGCCGGGCAAGTGAGCTGCTCCAGCAGCAAGAGCGAACAAACCCGTTTCGTGCAGCACTTCGGGAAGGCGCCCGTTGGTTTGGTCCAGAACAGGTAGGGGAAGCTGAGACCAGGCTGGGTGTGGGCCGCTCCTGCACGGATTCAGGGAGTTGACACTCCGTGCCCTGAAACACTCAGGCCTCTGTCATTTCACCAGCAGGATGCCATTTTCCATTTAGAGAATGCCACCACCAAGTGACGGTACCTTGACTTGGCCAAGCAATCTAGGCCGGGGGAGAGTGGGGGCTGATACCGCGGGGGAGTGAATGTATGTTGCCTTTGCTCTTTTGAAGCCTTTTGCATTATGAAACTGTGATACGGTCTATGAGACTTGAAAGGGAGGCAAAATACACTCCCTGGCTTCAGGGTTGAACAGATCTGCTTGCAATGTGTTTTGCCCCAAGACGAGCAAACTAGTTAAGTGGTTGGGATATACAGGTTTGTGGTTGTGGTTCAGGCTCCTTTGTTGTAGTTGAAATCATGGAGTTGGACGAGGTTTACTTAGGGAGACTGTGTCAAATAGGCATATCAAAGGCGCAAAGGTAAAGTGGAGAAAGAAGATCCCTTAAGGGAGACTGGGCAGGACTTGTCAACAGGTAGGAAGAAGCCCTGGATGGACATGGAGAGGCCAGGTGAAGGAAGCAGCGTGGAATGCTGCAGAGAACGCAGGCAAGGCAAGGGGGGCAGGCCAGCGGGGTATCCACTGTCCTTTGCATTTTGCAATGCGAGGTCCCTCGTGGGAGGAGCCGGAGGGCTTTGGTTGGATGGCGGCGGTGGAAGCCAGATTGCAGGCAGCTGAGATTTTTTTACAGCGGTGTGCTGGAGCCAGCTTGTACTGGCTGACGAAAGCCAACAGTCCAATTTTCAGGAATTTTGGAGCCAGTTGTTGAATCTAAAAATTTGTTTTTAAATTCATTGTATAAACTTATGGTCAAATTATAGACAAAGATAATAAATACTCAAACTCAACACTCCCTGATTATTGTATGACACGTAACTATGCTGCTGAGATTCTTTACCTGGATCACACCTGTATGTGAGAAGTGCTTTATTATGTGCGCTGCCGCGTCTCTTACCAATTCTGTTTAATGACGCCACAGTGGCTGGAAATCAGCCGTGGTGGGAGTATTTCTTATGTGAAATCTTCATAAGATTATATATAAAAGATTTTATATCAATTCCACAGGAATTGACATACACCACTTTGTTAAGCAAAAAAACAAAAACCCACAAAGATCAGGAGCTTTTCGGTTTGAACAGCTGTATTGAACATTAAATCAGCACATAGAGTGAGCACAGACACCCCCAAGGAATCTTGGCTGTGCATGGAAGGAGAAGTGACAGCAGGAAGGACAGATGGGAAGGGGGGAGGGTGATTTGTTTTTCCTGCCTTTTTATTTTGAAAAATTTCGAAGCTGCATAAACACTGCAAGAAGAATATAATGAACACTCATATATAGCCTTCCCCCAAATTCATTTTGCCACACTTACTTTAGCATTCTATGTATACAAACAGATACAAATGTTTGTGCTTGTTTTTCTAAGCCAGTAGTGTTGCAGACATATGACATTTCCCCTGGAAAACTTGTGTGTTTCTTATAGGAGCATTCTCTGCAAGACCTCAATGCCATTATCACCCCTAAGATAGTCATTTTCATCACTAAATAAAATTCAATCCAATAAAACACTGTTTCTTTTCCTCATTTTCTCTTTATGACTTTATAGTGACCCAGCTGGTTCTCTGGTTCAGGGTGTTTCACAAGTTTGCAGTTAAAAGTATTGTGTGGGGCTGTCCTCTTTAATTTCTCTCATGTGTGTCTTGTACTTTTCAGGGTATAGGTCTTTCACTTCCTTGGTTAGGTTTATTCCTAGGTATTTTATTCTTTTTGATGCAATTGATGCAATTGTGAATGGAATTGTTTTCCTGATTTCTATTTCTGCTAGCTCATCATTAGTGTATAGGAAAGCCGCAGATGTCTGTGTATTAATGTTGTATCCTGCAACTTTGCTGAATTCAGATATTAGATCTAGTAGTTTTGGAGTGGATTCTTTAGGGTTTTTTGTATACAGTATCATGTCATCTGCAAACAGGGACAGTTTGACTTCTTCTTTACTGATCTGGATGCCTTTTATTTCTTTGTGTTGTCTGATTGCCATGGCTAGGACCTCCAGAACTATGTTGAATAACAGTGGGGAGAGTGGGCATCCCTGTCTTGTTCCCGATCTTAAAGGAAAAGCTTTCAGCTTCTTGCGGTTAAGTATGATGTTGGCTGTGGGTTTATCATATATGGCCTTTATTATGTTGAGGTACTTGCCCTCTATACCCATTTTGTTGAGAGGTTTTTTTTCTTAATTAATGAGTTTAATTCATTTCCATTTGTTGCAATTATTGTTATATTAGAACATATTTCACAATTTATACTTCGTAAGGCTTTCTTTTTTTTCCTGCTTCCCACTAGATGGGAAGAATTCCTTTTTGCTAGTTCAAAAGTTATATATTTTGCTTTTGGCCTTCTAGTAGTTAGTACTAACTGCTATAATAGTCCTGAATTTATTTTAAGACATATACTCAATTTTATTTCCCCTTATTTATTTCTCGAACTTAATATTCCTATCTGCTCTTACTTTCCATATCACTCATAGTGTCCCCTTAGATGTCAGTCTGATTCTTGTTTGTTGGCAATCTGCTTCATTCTAGAAATATTTAGAAACCATCTTTCATGTTCTTATGTCTGCCTCTAATTAGGTGTAGGTGTTTTTTTTCTTTATCTGTTTGTTTGGTGTTGTATAAGCCTTTTCAAGCCAGGGCCTCTTGTCTTCCATTTTACAAAGTTGAATCTTTTCTCTATCTTCAAACATTTCTTCATCTCCATTCTTTCCCTTCTCCTAGAGTTCTTCTTTTCTGCATGTTGGCAGTTTCTATCCTCCATATTCTAAGGCATTTAAAAAAGTATATTTTCCCCCTCTTTATGATATCCTACTGCCCCTTGGGAGGGTTCTTCAATCTCACCTTCTCTTTCACTAATTTGCTCTTCAGCTGTTTCCATCATGCTCTCCGCCCCGACTCTTGTATTCATTCTTTCCTTCAACTATTGTATTTTTCATGCTTAATATTTTTCCACCAGGTTCTTTTAAACAATTTCTTAATTTTTCTTCATATGATTAACATCTTCCTTTATTTCCTTAAAAACTTTTTATGATGCTTATTTTAAATTCTGGATCCATTCATCTCAATAATTCTGCTTCAGACGGGATACATTCAGTTTCTCATCTCTCTTTCATGAGGGATGTACTTCTCAGGTGTCTAGTTATTTTGGCCTGTGAGCTCACAGTGCCATGATGGCCTGTGCGCAGAGCACCTCGCTGCCCTGTGCTTACTCCACGGACACAGGAGTTCTGGGCTGTTTCTGATTTCTTTGGGGACGTGGCATCAATAAGTCATAGACAGCATCAAGGCATTTCAGGAGGCGTAGCAAGAGCAGAATTCTGAAAAGCTTCCCTCCAACCAAGTGACTTTTAATCCTGGCTCTTCATTAGACTCATACGTGGAGATTTTAAAAATGGCACCTTACCACAGACTAATAAACCAGAATTCCTGGGGATGAGGCGCAGAGGTGAGTATTGATTTTCTCAACACTGCATTTTGCAAAAAAAAAAATCCAAACCTGGACCACTGTTAACAGTGTGTCTGCTGGCCCTGCCCCTACCTTCGCCATCTTCCAGATTATCAACAGGACAGCTGAAGGAGCCTTTTGTAGCCACAGCCAAATCAAATCACTTATCACTCAAAACCCTCTACTGCCACCCTTCTCAGAGAAAAACAATGATCTTATGAGGGCCTATAAGACTGCAATACTGTGATTCATAAGGAAAATATGCATTGGTCATTCAGGTCACCAAAATACATTTCTCATATATATTTGGGCTTCATCCACGGTTCCTGACTCACTTTGTTGAGAGTTTTTATCATGAATGGATGTTGAATTTTGTCAAATGCTTTTTCAGCATCTATGGAGATGATCATCTGGCTTCTGTCCTTCTTTTTGTTGCTGGGGTGGGTGATGTTGATGGATTTTTTTAATATTGTACCAATCCTTGCTTCCCCGCAATAAATCCCACTTGATCATGATGAATGATCTTTTTCATGAATTTTTGAATTTCTTTTGCTAATATTTTGTTGAGTATTTTTGCATCTTTGTGTTCATCAGGGATATTGGTCTGTAATTTTCTTTTTTTGTGGTGTTGGCCTCGTAGAATGAGTTTGGGAGTATTCCCTCATCTTCTACTTTTTGGAAAACTTTAAGGAGGATAGGTATTAATTAGGTCTTCACTAAACGTTTGATAAAATTCAGCAGTGAGACCACCTGGTTCAGGGATTTTGTTCTTAGGTAGTTTTTTGATTACCAATTCAATTTCCTTGCTGGTAACTGATCGGATATATCATTTATGAATATATATTCTCCCATACTGTAGTATGCCTTTTTGTTCTATTGATGGTGTCCTTTGCTGTACAGAAGCTTTTCAGCTTGATGTAGTCCCACTTGTTCATTTTTGCTTATG